ATACACCATGCAAAGAAGTTTGTGTGGGAAGAGACGCTTGGAAGAATATCTTATGAAGAAACCCCGGTACAAGATAATCTCATCTATAATGCAGGTTTGCAAAGACAGTTCTAAAGCGTCTGCAGAGGGTAAGCCTCCTTTTTGCTGCGCCAACGCCGTGTCTTGAAGTTGACGTACAGTCGATTCACGGTATGGCTTCGGAAAGACAGAGAAGAAAGGGACGAAGAAGCACCAAATTCCCTGACTCAGGTGGGTTGATGTATAGTTCTAAGAAGGGACTTGCGAACTTCCCGACCCGGCAAACTGGGAAATTCCGATTTCCTTTCGCACTCACACGCACATGGGGCCCTGTCTGCACCTACCCGTCCCATCAAGCGCGCAGGGCTCGGGGTGGTTTCTCGTCACGGTGCTACCGGGAGACTGTTCGAGAAAGACTGACAGGGCAGATGTGCGACAGGGGAGTGTCCAAGACTTTTTTGGGTGATGACAACGAGAATCATTCTTGCCCGCTCATCTTTAGGGTTTAGGGTTTAGGGTTTAGGGTTAGGTTACAACCCCCCACCCCCCCACACGCCTCCACAATTCGTCGACAAAGGTCTGTCGTTGCCTGATCGTAGAGCGGTAGCACCTCAGCAGATGGCTATTCTGCTCTCTCCCGATCAACACACAGCTTGCGGCGTGGTCGGGACTTAGGGATGTGCGGAAGTCAGGGTTTGCAAGAAAGAAGCTGCCTCTCTTGCTTGCAGTTAAAAAACTTATGCTTCTGGCCTGTTGCCCTTCCTCCAGGCCTTGCCAAGCACCCACCACACCTCATACCATCTCCTACCTGTCACAGGCACGTCCAGTCCCAGCCCAGGGCAGACTAGTCCAAAAAGCCTAGGGAGCCTCCATACCCCTTCATGACACCCTAAACCACAGACACTCTGCTTCATTTACTTGTTGAAATAGCGATGGACAGGTGAGAAAAAAACATCCTAAACTGTATTGCATGCGGGGCGTTTGCTCTGGCTTACGGAATATTCCTGGACGTTGAAAGGGTATTAGCTGTTAAGGGCAATGGGATTAACAGGGTAAGGAGATTCGAGGGTTAAAGGGCAAGGGGATTCAAGGGTACTACGATTCAAGGGGAATGAGCTTAAAGGTACATCCCTCTTGAAAGCTGGACGTGCTGACACCCTAAACCCGAAACCCGAATCCCCAAACCCGAAACCCTAAACCGCATAAAGCCTCAACCCGAAACCCTAGAAACCCTAAACCCCAAACCCGAAACCCTATAAACCCTAAACCCGAAACCCGAATCCCTAAACCCGAAACCCTAAACCCTAAACTCGAAACCCCTAAACCCCAGTAGGCCCTCCGGTGGTGCCAGGACACAAGGCGCGTTCCGACGTTGAAGCCGTCGGGCCGATGTAAGGGAAATGGAATCCTTGTCTCAAGGTGCTCAGTTTAGGGTTCATAGGGCCTAAGGGGTTCATAGGGGTTCATAGGGGTTTAGGGTTTAGGGTTCAGGGTTCAACTTTATAGGCATTCTAAGATTCCAAGCCTTATGGAACTTTAAATACAGGGTTGAATTACACAGGGTTTGGGGCTTCGGGTTTCTGAATAGAGAATTTAAGGGGGCTGGGGTTGGGAGCCACAGCCCTCATTTTCGATTGGCTCAAGCATCTGACCTTGCAAGGCGTTCTTCTCAACCTCTGAAGAGATTTGCCTTACTTGCCCGACGTCTTGTAGGTACATATACTTCTAGATACACATATATACATATAGTATTCACTCTTTAAGGGCTTCTGAAAAAAGCGGTGCTTTGATGAGAGCTGCTTAGGCTCAGGTACCCGAGCCCGCCCAGGGCTTCCGAGTCGAAGTGGAAGTGAAAAGGCCCCGAGTGCCTTGGTAGCCCCAGTAAACCATCTCAGAATAAGGGCACCCCTTTTTTGGGGTTGGTTACTGTAAATAAACCCTAAACCCCAAACCCTAAGCCCTAAACCCCAAACCCTAAACCCCAAACCCTAAACCCAAAACCCTAAGCCCACAAAAAAGGAAAAAGGCACCACTGGGCTAGCGAAAGGTGCACGATCGGCGTCTTGGTGGCGCAGAAGACCGACTTAAAGCCGATGCCTGCGGAAAGGCACCCCCCCCCCCCCCCTTCCTTGAACAGATAATACCCTGTTCAGCCCATGAAGCCTGGTTTTGAGGTTTTTTTTGAGTGTTTACGGGGTGTGTATAGGGTTTATAGGGTTCATAAGTTTAGGGTTTAACCCTAAAAACTTACAAGCAAGTTTGTTTACGGGGGGCTTTGCAGATCCTGGTCTGAGGCCCACACCAGAAAAAGTAGTGGCATCTAGTCTAGAACTCCGAGCTCTGCACCGTAAGCCCCAAAACCTTTGGATGTGTCCCCCTACTACTGCTAGTACAAGGGGGACATCCCAACCCAAACCCTACTAGCAACAGAGTCTAGATGGGGTGTGTGCGTGTGGGCAATAAAGGGACCGGGGTGGCCAAAAGTATTTAGGGATGACACCTCAGACTATCTAGATCGGGCTCTTGTTATGAAGCAATCGGATTTAGGGTTTCATTGTAAGCTCTTTTGCTTCTTGGGTAGTCTCTTAAGGTAGTTGCGTCCCTAAGTATGAACCAAAAATTCGAGAACCCTTCTATATCCCCTTACATACCTTAGAACACCCAAGGGCCCACACCTGACCCTAAACCCTATTGAACCCAGACCTTTACGTCAGCTGGCCCTAAGCCCTAAACCCTAAACCCTCAACCAAGAACCCTATCAAACCCCCTCAACCTCCCAGAAGGCACGGCGCCTTTGGCTCCGATGTACTTCCGGGCGTCGCCCGTTTTGGTGGACTGGGCGATGTCACACAAGGCGCGGATGTTGAAATCTCCTTGGGGATGTGTTGGGTTTAGGGCGTTTTTTTGTTGCACATCCCCTTAAGGGGATGTTTAGGGTTTAGGGTTGCTGTTTTTGCATGTAGGGGTTCGGGCTTAGGGGGACTTCCGTGTTCTGTAGGCTTTACCTCAGGGTGCAGGGGCCTTAGGGTGATTTGTTTATGGAGCTCCTGCTGATGTACGAGTTGGGGCATGTTGGGATCGGACTTAGCTACGTCAAGCCCAACCTTTCGCTTAACGGAAGCACTTTGCCAAATGCCGACCTGCCTGCCTTCTTGAGGGAGGGGGCTGTTCATCTTGGATTCCCAAATCTTGTGCGCACGTGCTTTCAGTCTGCTGCTTTAAGGTGTACTGTGGACAACCCTCAGGTACCCTCATCACACCCCTATGACTCCCAATTCATCTTAGATTCCCAGATCTTGTGGACGTTCTTCGGCCTGCTGCTTTAAGGCATCATGTGGGGAACCTCATCACCCTGACTCCGAACCCAGGTCTGCTTGCAGCTGCATGGCGGAACCCGGTCTCGTTGTGCTCAATGACAAGGAAGGCGATGGGCTCCGTCATAGGTTCGAAGGTGGTGTAGTGGCTAAACTTCTTCGGATCCGACCTGAGATTCAGGCTTGGGGTTTAGGAGGCTTCCTATAAGCTCAGCCTCTGAATGGGGGTTTATAGCAATTTAAGGTTTAGGAATTTAGGGCTGAGACTCTCAAGCCCTCCACGGGTCGCGGTCAAGGGACTCGAAGGTTACGGTCAGCGAGGGCTTGACACCCTCCGCAAAGTCGCAGTCGTCTGCGTTTTGCAAGAGCTCGAGCATGAAATGAACCTGGAACACCCTCGCGGAAACCCAACATCTCCTGTAAACGGTAGTTATATGCATGTAAGCGAGCCTTGTACATTCCAAGCTTCACACATGGGGATTTACGATATTGGGGCACCTTATTGGGGTCCTTATTCTAAAAGGATCCTACTATCTGGGGGTCGACATTGGCAGGTCCCCGAGAATCGTAATCCCCCCCCCCCCCCCCCCCCCCCCCCCCCCCCCCTCCCCCCCCCAAATCCACTCCGTGATGGGATCCCCTTCGGCCTCCGCTGTACTTCTACCCATATTAGGGGGCACTTAAGGGGCTTCTAAGTGGGGTGATATAAGTACTTATTAGGGCACTTAAGGGGCTTATCAGTGGGTTGTAAGTACAGTTATAAGGGTTTAGGGTTTAGGATTTAGGGTTTAGGGTTTAGGGGTTCCTAAGTACCATGAACCTCCAAGCGGGCCTCTCCGCTGTAGAGATCCGCCGCCAAACGCTTCACAGCACCCTGCACCGTCGTCTGCAGGGACCGGTAGATGTGGTTCACCGGGGCCTTAACCCAATTCCTGCATGTGCTGGGTTTAGGGTTTAGGGTTTAGGGTTTAGGGTTTAGGGTTTAGGGTTTAGGGTTTAGGGTTTAGGGTTTAGGGTTTTGGGCTTAGGGTTTAGGGTTTGGGGTTTAGGGTCTCCAAGCATCCCGAACTGTCGGCTGGCTGTGAGAAGCGCAAGGGGTAGGTGCACAATGTTGGTATATCGACCGAGCGAAGCAGACCACAATAAGAGGCAGATAATGGCTCATTCTCAAACCGGCCATATTTGGCATTGAGCTGCCTGAGTCTACACATCCTTCCACTCACCTACACCAGCCCTCAAACCCGCAGCCCAAGATCCTGAGCCCACGACGCTCAACCCTCCCTCCTTCCCCCGTACACACACAAAAGGGCAGTCCTGGTCAGGGGGTCCACATGCTGCAGGTTCACGCCCTTGTTCCTTCCCCCCAGGGAACGGTTTGGGGTGCATAGGGTTTGGGCCTATACCCGAAAAAACCCGGAGCCCTAAACCCTAAAACCCACAACCACACTATGGTTTAGGGCTTGGTTTCAGCCTACAGGGTTTTGGGGTGTAGCCCCTCCCTGCCCTGGTCATGTCCTGGCAATTTTGCGGCAAAGCTTTCCTCAGACCAGGCATACGACACGCAGCCCATGCAGGGCGACGCTACTTTGAGACGACTCCGCTTGAAAGCATGCACCTGCCAAAGAATGAGTCTACACAATTTCGTGCTCCCGCAGCGAAGTGTTAGATTCATCGGTTTACCCCCTCCTCAGTCCGGAACCTGGGCTTCTCCCCATAAAGTGCGATCCGGCTGCGGTTGGCCGACTCTTCGTTCCGTGCCGCATCGGCACTCTCTTCATCGTTGTCCGTCCCTTCGGAGATCACTCCTCCATCGCCTGGTGATGGGAGCTTGTTGACTCAGGGTCTCATGGTTGGGTTTCAAATTCGCCCAGGCAACCGGCAAGGTCCTTTAGGGTTGCGTTCAGAGTCTGGCCTAGATCTACATGGATGTGTTTAGGCACTCCAATCTCGAGGCCGAATGTGGGCTTGACAGGCGTTTGCCGTCACACTGTTGCGCCCTGCCACACGGCTTCCTCGAATGGTCTTGTTCGGTCAGGCCAGGGCGCTGCTGTCGGCATCGCTGACCTCCTGTGGCAGAAGGGGAGGTTGTGACAAAAAGTACGGTATTAAACTATGATGTGCCGCAAGGCGATTCATTTGACACAGAACCCTAAGCCCTGAAATCGTAAGGTCTCTGGCTCCCTGGCTAGGACCATACATTTCCGGGCTTGGGAATTCCAATTCAGGGGACATGTAGGGGAATTGCAACTAAGAGCTAAGCCCGAAGTCTTGAGACCTTATGGTTTATGATGATAAGGACCCCAACTAGGCCCCCAAATACTAGGATTCCCTTGTAAGGGCTCCAGTAAGGTACCCTAAACCCTAACCCTAAACCCTAAACCCTAAACCCTAAACCCTAAACCCTAAACCCTAAACCCTAAACCCTAAACCCTAAACCCTAAACCTACTTTCGGAAACCACCTTTCATCTTGCAGGCTTAGGCGGCTTAGGAGTCAGTCGAGGCACTGCTTGCTCACGCTGCTGCCGCACTGGTGCTTCGGCGGGAGCCCGTTCGCGAGCAGCGGGGGCTTCGCCTGGAGGGTTCACAGTTTAGGATTTAGGGCTAGTGTTTAGGGTTTAGGGGGTTCAGGGTTTAGGGCCTTGTCTGGCAACATTTGTGGGTGTCTTACGAGCATGCCCTCTTGTCGATTTGCACGGGAAAGAAAGGAGTCTGGGCTGGGGCTTTCACACGTCTCCACAATCGTTTCCAAAGCCAAGGTTGTAATATTCCGGCGTGCGGATATGCAATAGCCTCACAAGCTGACTGCTGGAGAGGAGCCGGGGATGTACACCGGATACTTGGCTTCCCAGTCCAGCTCCCACTCCGTAATGCCGGTGAACTTGGCAAGCCACCTTCTCTCCAGGAGATGGTTCTTGGTGCATTGTTGAGGACGGGTACTTTCTACCCCGGTTGCCAAGTCACGCAGCACCCCTTCTGCAAACACTGGGACACGGGTTGGTTGCGGTGCTTGATTTCTGCACAGTGCCAGGGAGCCATCATGCAGAGGCTTTCTCTACCGCGGCAGTTCAAAACGCTGTGAAATTGGCTACTTCTACGCACTGGCACAATTGAATGTACATCTGTTCACACCACCACCGCCACCACCACCGCCACCACCACCGCCACCACCACCATCACCACCACCACGACTACTACTACTACTACTACTACTACTACTACTACTACTACTACTACTACTACTACTACTACTACTACTACTACTACTACTACTACTACAAATCTTCATGAACTGGCAGGGGCCGTCTTCTGTACGGCTTCATGTAAGGGTGTGGATGGTCTGGAGGTATCAGGGATGCGGAGTGTAAAAATTTGATGTATTTGTGGTTTTCGGGCGTATGGTGGAAGATGCCCTTGAGTCCTAACTACAAACCCAGCCTAAAACCTACAAACCTTGAAGAGCCCTGAAACAGAAACCCTAAAATCCTACCCTACAACCCCATAAAGCCCGAAAACCTGGAAACCTAAACCCCAAACCCCAAACCCTAAACCCCAAACCCTAAACCCCAAACCCTAAACCCCAAACCCTAAACCCTAAACACCAAACCCTAAACCCCAAACCCTAAACCCGGCCCACCTTAGGACAGCCGTCCGCTCGCCGCTCTGCCGCGCCACCGCGATCCTACAGTCCCTTTAGGGTTTCAGAGTTTTGGGCTTAGGGTTTAGGAAACCCTCTATGACCCTGCAACCCTATAACTTCATGGGGTATTGGGGTTGCAGTGCTTTGAGGTTTTGGGGCTTACGGTTACTAGGCTTTCAAGAGTTCTGCTAGGGCTCACGAGTGGCGTAGAGACCCTCTATGACCCTGCAACCCTATAACTTCATGGGGTATTCAGGTCATGAAGGGTCGTACTGGTCCTAGACAATGTTAGGGCCGAGAGTCATGCTGCTCCGCGGCAGGCCCATGTGCAGGTAGGGCTTCACCAGGGCAGGGAAGATGACTTCGCGGAACCTTCGGTGGCCATGAGGGCCCATGAGTTGAACACTTACTTGGCAGTGGTATTCAAGGATTCACAGAGACTGACTTGTTGGTTTAAGGCCGAGGGATTGGGGTTGTAGCAAGGAAGAGAGCGAGAGAGAGAGAGAGGTTCTGGTCGGCCCGGTCGGATTTCTGAGTTCCAAGTCGCGGCTGTCCCTTTGTTCTTTGTTGCCCCATGCAGGCTGGAAGCAAGGTCGAATCAAGTGCATGTAGAAGATCAATGAGGTGCATCAAGTTTACAACAAATGGTCGATGTGGCATCATGAGAGCCTTGAAAGGCAAGGAGGGCGCATAGAGCTGCAACCTCATGGACATCAGATCGCCTGAGAGCCTTTCAGATGCGTTGCCCAGTATCCTAGGATGAAACATTTGGTTTGCCTCCCAAAAAAGGAATAAGCGTGCTACCGGGCATCCAAAAGGGTGTCCTCTTTTCCTGAAACCCCTTGAATAAGGGAACCTAAACCTCCCAAAAAGGGAATGATGGTACGAGTACTACTTCCCTAAACCCTAAACCCTAAACCCTAACCCCTTTACTGGGCATCCCAAAGTTCGGCTCCTTACGTTGATCGGCCCGAGGTGCTCCGTCGGAAGTGCCGCCAGCGCCTGCAGCACGAAGGTCTCCCGCATTCCGGTGGCCGTCATCTGCCTTCAAAGGTACAGCTTCGGGTTTAGGGTTTAGGGTTTAGGGTTTAGGGTTTAGGGTTTAGGGTTTAGGGTTTAGGGTTTAGGGTTTAGGGTTTAGGGTTACTCCAGAAGGTTGGAACATGCTTTAAGGATGATTAGAGCCGGGATTCCCTTTAGTATGCCATATCTGGGGTATGGGGATAAGGATGTTCCAACTTTTTGGGGTTTAGTGCAGACCCTTGTTTGTTCTTTCCTTTCTTTCTTTGCCTTTTTTTTTTTTTGGGGGGGGGGGGGGCTAGTGTTTCGGGGTGAACCCCTAAACCTTTGACTGAACGTTCAGCCCTACACCCCCCCCCCCCCCCAGGACACGCGCGTTGGCCCAGGCCTGAGACCATCTTCTGCGGCGCAGGCGAACTGGTCAGCCTCGGTTCATAAGGAGGGAGGGGGATTAATTAGGGTTGAGGGTTGAGGGTTGAGGCTTGAGGGTTTAGGGATTGGGGGGCCTATGTGGCCCAAAGCCAAAAAACGTCCAACTCCCAAGCCTGGCAAGCCACCAGCTGAACATCACCAAGCTGCAGGGAAGGTGGGCCCATCGCGGAGCCATCTGCACCAGATGGGGCTGACCCTACTTGGAGGTTCATGGTACTTACTAACCAATTACAACTGTACTTATAACCCCACTTATAATACCCCTAAAGGGCCTTTTAGGGGTTATCCCTTTTATAAGTAGGGTTATAAGCCCAGTTATAAGTGGTCATTAAGTCCCATGAACCTCCAAGTAAACCCTAAGCCTTTTTTTGCATCCGGGCTCTAGGCGATATCTGCCGGAACCAAAGACTCAAACCCTAAACCTAAACTTATAAACCCTATAAACTCCAGCCCCTAAACCCTAAAGCCTGAACCCTAACCGGGAAGGAGGTTGTTGAGCTTGTCTCGGCTTTTTGGAGAGCGTGGTTTGAGGCCCCAGGATCGACAGCTAAATTGTTAACTCCCAAGGCTGCGCGCCCCATGGTTTCTGGGTCAACGGTCAACCGTGTGAACAAGACATGTTTAGGGTTTAGGGTTTAGGGTTTAGGGTTTAGGGTTTAGGGTTTAGGGTTAGGTTTTCAATGTGGCCAACTGTAGGTTATTCAATTCTTCGGGCTTCGGGTTTAGGGTTTAGGGTTTAGGGGGGACTTCCATGCTTATTCGCCCCAGGAAGGTGTGCGCACTTCTCGGCCGCGGCTATTTGAGCTTTGACCTACCAACAACCCGATCCCTGGCAAGCTCTCGTATCTACGGTCTCGTCAGACTTGTATCTTTCTTCCACAGGGATTCTAAAAATCTGCCATAGGAGGCCTCATGCACTACGGGTATTGGAGGTGTATAATATACCAGACACGGTGCGGAAATATATGAGCGCCTGCACAGGGGGCCGAGGGGCCGCGTTGCCGCTTCCCACACCAGTGCACTGAAGCCCTGGCCGTGCATCTGCGGGAGAGCACTTGCCCGAGCCCGTGCAGAGCCGTGCAAAGCGGACCCCGCCGGCCGCGGCTGAAAAGATCACATTCTTAAAAGTGTGCTTCAGATGGCAGATAAGGCGTGCAACTGCATGGACTTGCAGAGTCTTGCACAGGCTGGTAATCCCAGAACTAAAGCATTATTGTATTGCCGCACGCCTTCAGGTCCATCTGCCAACTATAATATTGCATGGCCCCGAAGCCACTACCACCTGCGCACTCCACCATCAAACAGTAAGTTGTACATACATTTATAACATTTTAAAAAGTGTCAAATGCTTAGAGAAACGAACGTTCATGGGCTTCGGGGAGCGGAAGGCCTGGATTCTGGAGCGGCTCAGCGCTTCCGCCGACGCAGCTCCTTCTGAAGCTGAGCGGCCAAGTCGTCCTCGCCAAGCTCTGAGGCGGCCCACAAGGACATGTGCAACGCTGCAGGCATCATCGCAGAAATGGCAGAAGGAATCTGGGCCACAAGGGCTGGCACTGTCGCAAGCACTTCTGGTGCTGCTTCCTTCAAATTCGCAACTGCCCAAAAGCTGTTGGACAAGTCCTGAGGATCAAATTCCCTTACCTTCTGTGGTATGCGCTCTGTGATGGCTGGCACAGCTGTCAGCACCTGTGGCGCGGCAACTTGCAACTTCGCAGCTGCCCACAGGCTGTTTGACAAAGCTTGAGGAGTCATGCCTTGTACCTTGCGTGGAATGCGCCCTGCAATGGCTGGCAGAGCCGCCAGTACCTGTGGCGCTGTATCTTGCAGCGTCGCAATGGCCCACAAGCTGTTTGACAAATCCTGAGGATTGAAGTCTCTCACCTTGTGCGCAATGTGCCCCGCAATAGACTTCGCCGTAGCCCACATGTCTGGCATTTCATCTCTGCACTTGGCCAGTGTCAAAAGGCAGTTTGAGAGACTCTGCGGGTCCATGGCACCTGCCTTTTTCTGCGTGTACCTCATTAGCTCCATCAACGGACGCTCATCATATCCTTTCACCTTCCCATTCAGCTGGTCATGAAGCTCACCAACGGCCCAAAGAACCTGCGATGTAGCCCGTGGCAGGAGCTTGCCCTCCTGAAGCATGGCGCGGAGTCGGCTCACCAGCTTTGGCCAAACGTGGCTAGCCATGTCACTTGGGCTTAGCTGCCGCCGCTGGCTGAACTTGCCCAATCGGTTCAATGTTGCTGCCATGTGGAAGTAATTGAAGATCGACCCGTCCACTTCCTTATCCACCAGGCTGAGGATGGCTGCGGCGGGTGCGGCCCTAGAGAGCTTGGTTGTCAGTTCTTTAGCCTCAGCCTCACCGTCGCCATCCCTGCCTCCCCCACCAATGAGCGGCTTCTGACCTGCTCTGCCCCTCCGCTCCCGCACCGTCCTTGCCGTCCTGAACCGCGGAGCTGTGCACGCGGGTCGTATTGTTGCAGCTCCACTCCGGTAGCTTGCGCAACCAGCGAAAAGCCATGGCTTTCCGCCAGAAAGGACGGACATGGCCACAATCATGGCCACTCGAAAGAAACGCCATGCTTGCCCACTGCCCCAGCCTGAACCAGGGGCCTGTGCCATCACACGGACGTTGACTAAATGGTAGGACAACTTTTGTCGAGCCCAAGCTGGAGCATCCAACATACGTGGCCTACGAGAATGCAATGGCCTGCACCTCTCAGAATGCCCAATAAAGAGCCTTAAGAGAGAACCTTGGACACGGATGATTTGGCTTAATCCCTAAACCCTAAACCCTAAACCCTATACCCCCACAACCAAGCGGGTGCCTGCGCAAGGCCGAGCCAGCTGCGCCCGCCGCATCCCGGGCCTCCACGCAGGCGAAGAAGTCGACGACAGTGCCTGCAAACAAGCTTGCCATTCTCTATTCGGGCGTTTGGGGTGTAGGGTTTAGTTAGGGAAAAGGGATTCTACTCTAACAGGGGTACCCCTTTTTTGGGAAATACTCTTCTCTAGCCCAAGCCTGCAAGAGCTAATCTGCAAAACCGTGCGCACCAGGCGCACCATGCAACCTTCAAGGCCTACCCGAGGCATGCCCCATGACCATGGTGTGGGGCAGTTTTTGTGTACGATCGTTTTCGAAGTGGCGTTGGCCTTTTGGGATTTCGTACCTTTTCTTCGTAGGGGCGAAGGGAACTAGTGCACAGGCACGTGGCCACTTTACTTCTCCATGATCTATGTCTATCCTTTCTGCGGAAATGCTATCAGCATGACCTATCTGGCACGGTTTGGCCAACCACTGATCCACGCCGTCTCGTATCCGCACGTTGATGCCATGTACATCACGCATTCACATTATACCCACGTATACCAGTGCAAGGTCTGGCAAAAATCCTGAATGTCCTAAACGAAACCCGCCGCTATTCACCATGAGGCTCCCAGCGCCTGTTGGCAAACGGACGAAATGCTCCCAGTGAAGTTCCATCACCAGGCTCCCGCGGGACTGCTGCCCCCATGCATCGCCGAAGGCCGTGGAACGCCTCAGGCAAAAATCGCTGAAGCCCATAGCCTAACGCAAGCAAAGCGACCTCGTTTTTACACCCTAAACCCTAAACCCTAAACCCTAAACCCTAAACCCTAGCACTTCTCGTTTGCTCTAAAGCGCTTTTCCCGAAGTAGGGGTTCCTGTGGACGTCAGGCTGCGGCACACCAGACAAAGGAGTTGTTGATGCACACATCTTAACCCGAATCATGCGAACCCCCCCCCCCCCCCACCCACCCACCCACCCCCTGCCGCCACCCTAACCCAAAAATCTCAACACATCGATAATGACCTCAACGCCTGGCATCTTCAATCCGAACTTGTGATCCTGGAGCCTGGCTGCAAGAAGCTTGAGAAGTCTCCGAGAACCTTGGTGGAAGATACGAATTGTTCAGTGCGGGCCTTTCTTTTGTGATTGTGATAGTTTTGCGCAGCACGAGGCACTTTGCTTTATGGACTGGTTTGTGCAAGGCATCAGAATGAATGACTCTACTTCTCAAGATGCAAGCCTGAAGCCAGCAACTCTAAACAACACGGCTCTAAAGCCCAAGCCGCCCCTAACTGCAATCCTTGCACTATAAGACCCAGATCTCGAGGCCTAGCGGGGCCCCCAGAAATCCTAATATCTTAGGGTAGTTACATGGTCCCTTAGTATGGGCTCTTGAAAGAAGACCCCCTATATACCCCTTGTATATACAGATTAAGGGCCCATACATCAGAACCCTTTAAAGAGGGTAAGAGACCCCATATTAAGAGCCCAGGAAACTACCCTAAGATAAACGCCCTCCAGAAATTCCGCCCTAAACCCTAAACCCTAAACCCTAAACTTTAACCCTAAACCCTAAACCCTTGACCCTAAACCCTAAACCCTAAGCAAAGCCCTAGAAGAGCGCTGTGCTCTCCCTCTTTGCTCCAGGGACCGACTGGAAGGTACCCCTCCACTCCGGCAGGGCATCGCGCAGATTCATCAGCACCTTAGCTGCTGAGTTCAGGCCTTAGGGTTTAGGGTTTAGGGTTTAGGGTTCAGGGTTCAGGGTTGATAAGCCCCCCCAAAAGTGTACACTTTCAGTTCTATAGGGGGGTTAGAGTATCCCAAAAAATGTAAAGTGTACTCAGCTACTGAGGCACTGGGGCTCGGGAGAGCTGGCCAACCACATGCTGGACCATCTCCTGCAGGGTTTAGGGTTTAGGGTTTAGGGTTTAGGGTTTAGGGTTTAGGGTTTAAGGCTTAGGGCTGCTTCCTCTCGGTGCTTCTTGAAGGCTTCGCAGTAATCTCCTGGAAATCAAGCGCCCTGCTACCCCAGTCCTTTCCATACAAGAGTTTGAGGCTTAGAGGGTTCGGGCTTTTAGGTTTTGAGAGCAGATCCTCCCAAAGCCCTCCTAAACCCTCAACCCTGAACCCTAAACCCTAAACCCTAAACCCTAAGGGGGGTCCTCCTTGTCCATCACACAGACGGCAGACCCTGGCTGATGCCAGAGGCCGCTGGTCTCGGCAGCGAGGGCGTGGGCCATCTCCACCTTGAGAGCACGTTTCTGGCGGCCTTTGGTGCCCACTTGGAGGTTCATGGTACTTATTAACCCTAAACCCTAAACCCTAAAAACCAAAACCCTAAACCCTAAACCCTAAATTAGCTTACAAGCACCATGAGCTTCCAAGCAGGGATCTTCTAGGTTGGCCTTGGTGCACCCTCCGAAAAGCACGTAGAGGACCCCGTGAAACTCTCAAAAGAGAGAAAACTATGCACTATCCCAACTAGGCTGCCCAGTAACCTAGGCTTAAAAAGGGTGCCCTTTTTTGCTTAAAGGGGTTTACAAGGGAACCTAACCCCCCAAAAAGGATACAAGGGTACTACCGGGCATCCTAGCCAAGGGCCCAGGAAGCGGTCGATTCTAAAAAGCTGAAGTCCCAAGAGTCAAGTTCGGAGCGCAAGTTCGGTCCAAGTTCTGAATCCGAACCTCCCCCCCCCCCCCCCCGTGTGTAGGTTGCCCAGCAATATAGGAGCCAAAAGCGAGCCGTTCTGGATTCCTGGAGTTTATAAAAGAATCGAGCCGAAACAAGGGGAAAAAAGGGCCCGCTAGGCATCTTCACACTGTGACTGGACCCCCCAGGTATGCAACCAAAAAACCCAGAACCTACAAAAAGGACCATTGTTTTACTTAGTTTGGGGGTATAGGAAGGGCTTATAGGGCTTAGGGGCCAGGGTGGTTTAGGGCTTAGGGTTCAGATTGTTTTGCCCAGGGCAATCTGAGTCGCTACCGGCCGGTTCTCCGGGAGGGTCGTTGCAGCTTGATCCAAGGCAAGCAAGGCTTCCTTCGAAGGGTTTGAGACTTAGGGTTTGGGGTTTGGGGTTTAGGGTTTCGGGTTTGGGGTTTAGCGCTGCGTTCTTCCGAGGGTTTACTTACCCTAAACCCTAAACCCTAAACCCTAAACCCTAAACACTTTTAGGTTTCGGGCCGAAGGTCTTTGGGAGTGGATCGGCCAGGGATGAAGACTCGTACCCCCAAGGTTGCACCCCTAAAGGGTTTGGGGTTTAGGGGGTTTAGGGTTAGGGGGTTTAGGGTTTAGGGTTTAGGGTTTAGGGTTTAGGGTTAGGGGGTTTAGGGTTTAGGGTTAGGAGGTTTAGGGTTTAGGGCTTGATATACTCCTAATGTGGCCCTTATTATTCCTTTAGGGATCCCGAAGAAGGGACCCCAAAACCCCTACAACCTTAAGGGTCCAAGGTAGAACCCCTAAACCCTAAACCCTAAACCCTAAACCCTAAACCCTAAACCCTAAACCCTAAACCCTAAACCCTAAACCCTAAACCCTAAACCCTAAACCCGACCCTAAGGGCAGTACGGCCTTATACAAGGTCTTTGCGGGCAAACCCGGCTGTGGTGTAGGGCTTCTGCTACGGAAGGCCTGGGCTGAACTAAACCCTAAACCCTAAACCCTAAACCCTAAACCCTAAACCCTAAACCCCTAAACCCTAAACCCTAAACCCTAAACCCGAAACCCTAAACCCTAAACCCTGAACCCTAAACCCTAAACCCCAAACCCTAAACTCTGGTACCCTAGCACTCCTTCGCAGTCACTGCCGGTCCGAAGTGGTGCAGGACGGCCGACCTTGATGTGGCTAGTTCTCCAAGTTAAACAGTTACTCTTTTTTGCTCAAGAAACCCCCTTAAAAATATGATTTGAAAAACGAAAAAACCCATGTACTGACCTGAAAAGGATAATTTTGGCGGGGTCTCTGAAGCAAATCGTAGGTCAGAGTCCGTTTTTGGGTCCTATAAAGTACGGTGCCCTGAGAAAGAGGAGCCCAAAACGGACCCTGATTGCAGAACTACCCTGCCTGCGGCAGGTATAGGGTTTAGGGATTTCTCCCTTCCTGCACGGGTTCTCATGAACACGAAAAGGCGGCTTCGGATTGTAGGATTAAGGGTCGAGGGTGCGATTGCTGGGTATCAATAGTAGGGATCCTGACGCTTAGGGCGCCCAAGATCATCATCGAGAACCCCCTTTGAAAAGCTCCTCAACCGCAACAGCCCCTAGAACCCAGAACCCTGGAAGCCTTCAAGCCTGCACCCTGTCCACTAACGCTCAGCTTTCAAACCCCGACATGCCCCTAAGCCGTGAACCCTAAACAACCCCTAAACCTCTGTAAAGCCTAGACCCGAAAGCCTAAAGCTTCTGGAAGCCTAGAACCCTAAACCCTATACCCTCCCTAAACCCTAAAACCCTAAAACCCTAAACCCTTTTTTTCCCCTAAAACCCTAAACCCTAAACCCTAAAACCCCTAAACCCTAAACCCTAAACCTCACCCTCTCTAAGCTGGGCCAAGAAGCTGCGCTTCGGCACTGGGCACCTGGGCGGTTTTCAGCTCCGCGCAGAAGTGTGCCAAGTCGGAGTGGAGCTTGCTACTGCCGGCCTCGCAAGGCTCGTAGGGTTTAGGGTTTAGGGTTTAGGGTTAGGGTTTAGGGAGACTAGATTCACGAGTAAGCTAGGAATAAAAAGGGAACCCTTTTTGGTTCTAAAGGGGCCGATAAGGGAACCTAAGCCCTAAGCAAAAGGTGTAAGGGCCTACTCTGGGTCCTAGTGTAGGATTTATGGGAGGACTTAGGATGTAGAAACAAGGATCATACAGCGTTTAAGGTTCAGATGTTTTTTTTTTGGCAGGGTCTGGGGTTAGGGGTTCAAAGGACCTATCACCAGAGATTGAGCTTCTCACCAGGAACAAGGGGACCTGAAGCAGACTCCTTACCAGTTGCCTGGGACTCTATTCACCTATTCACCTACAGTTTAGTAGTAACTACTCTTTAGTAGGTAATTAGGTATAACCTATAAAACTGTAGGTAAAGAGGATCCCAGGTGAACCTCTGCCACTGTCGTACAGCAAGCTGGGAGAAGTGAATTGCGGCTGTGTAGGGTTCTTGGCAAGTCAAGACGAGAAGAAGGCTGGCACACCATGGCAAAGACTGCTGGGACTCTATTTACCTACCGTTTAGTAGTAACTACCCTCTATTAGTAGGTACAACACATAGAACTGTAGGTATAAAGAGGGTTCCAGGTTAAGATTGAGAGAGCAAAGACCCGAGTGCTGGACAATCATGTGTTCAGCGTCGAAAAACTCCAAATTCCAATCCCGAAGAGCCCTACGCAATATAAAGCTTATGCACCCCCTAATTGAAGGTACACCGGGGATGTCCCTGAAACCTACAAACCCATGGAACATGAACGTATCGGCTAACCCTAAACCCTAAACCCTAAACCCTAAACCCTAAACCCTAAACCCTAAACCCTAAACCCCAGCAACCCCCCCACCTTGTGCGCAAACCTCTCCATCAGCTTGGCCAGCTCACTGCTGTTCCGTGCCAGCAGCTCCCCAAAGCCATCCTCGCTTAGGGTTTACGTGGGACCCTCTTTACCTAGAGTATTATGGGTTCTACCTACTAGGTAAAAAAATTAGGGTCTACCTAGAGTATTATGGGTTATACCTATACGAATTAAAAAAATAAGGGTAGTTACTACTCAACTGCAGCGAAATAGAGTCCCAGGCAGGGTTCAGGGACGAGGGTTGAAGGTCTTGAGCTTAGGGGCTTTGAACGAGGCATGTGGGAGAGACAGGGTGAAGAGAGATTCTGGGATTTGAGCTTGTTAGGGCTTCATTAGCCTATGAAGTTTACAGGGCATAGGTTTTAGTGGCCTTAGCCGGGACCTTGGGCTAGTAACCTTACTCTTACGTCCCCTGGAAGTATAGGGTTGAATGGTTAAATGAGGCCTAGAGCGTACTACAAACTTCTTAAGAAGCCCCCCAAAAATGCCAAGCATTCCCCCTTGTAAGGGTAAGACAGGGAATATTGTGCTTTATTTTTTGGGGGGGTTCTTAGGCAAATAGTAGGTTATAGACTGGGATGTTCCCCAGCAACCCCCTAGTAGAATCCCTATTAAGGGCTGTTCGTACTAAGGGGGAACATCCTAATTCATAGGGATGTTGGAATCCCTATTAAGGACTCTTAGCATAAGGGGGAAAGGGGGAACATCCTGATTAAACCCTTACTAAACCCTAAACCCTAAACCAGTGAAGCCCCAACAGCCTCCAAGTGGAGCTCGGCAAAGTTGGCGACGCCGCACTGCTGACAGATCGCCGCCTCGCTCCTCTGCGGGCTTTTTGGAGGGCTTTTCTCAGGGTTTTTGAAGGGTTTTGAGGTGTATTTGGGAGTTTTTCAGGGTTTCTTTAAGGGTTTTGGGGTTTCTTTGAGGTTTTTGAGGGTATTTGGAGGGTTTTTTTTTTGTCAGGGCTCTTTCAGGGTCTTGAAGGTATCTTGAGGTGTTTTTGTTTGCTTTCATTCAGGGCTTCTACGGGCTTTTTTAGGGCTTGGGGTTGTCTAGGGGCCGGCCGGTGGTCGACCCAGTGACTTGTGACTTCTTATCGTAAAAAGCAGAGGATCTGCTCACATAAGCCTCAAACCCTAAGTCCTAAAAGGCTAAAGCTCTAAACCCTGAAACCCTAAAACTCTAAACCCCAAAACTCTAAACTCTCCAACCGTGAAACACTGAAGGTCCTAAAGCCCTAAGCTGCCATCACTGCAGCGAAAGCAACTGGAGGCCTCAGCCCTGTAACCACCCAAAGCCAGGGAATCCTGCTTTACACAACAAAACCTGAAACCCAAACCCTACCTAAACCCACAAAAGTATGTAGAAGAATGGTCCTTTTATGGGTTTTGGGCCATTTTTGTTACATACTTTTGCGGGTCCAGGTAAGCCCGAAACCAACCCTGCAACACTGCGCTCCGACCCACGGCCGTGAGCAAGTCAGCAAGGCCCACGTCGTTCTCCGCCAGCGACAGCAGCCTTAGGCCAGCAGATGCTTCGGCGTCCCGCAGGTTGGTTCAATGGGGCTATAAGGGTTTAGGGTGTAGGGTTTAGGGTTTAGGGTTCCAGAACGCCGCGTGTGAGGAAATATCTTGGTGTAACCAGTCACAAGGGATCATCCCCGCGAGAGCCCCAACCGAACGCACCGCTGTGCAGCATGTGAGCTTGAAGGCTTGTTAGCCCAGTAACCGTGTTATATTAAGGGTACCCTTTTTGGGGTTGGTCCCTGTAAAGGGAACCCTAAAGTAAACCTTGAACCAAACAAAGGGAAAGGGTACCACTGGGCTCGAAAGCCCATGCAAGATGGATCCCCATCTTTCAATCAGCATGCGCCCGTTAATTGCCAGGCCTTGCTCCTCCACAAAATGGTTTAGGGATTTTCTTGCCACCCGTCTAGCCGCAGCACTGCGGGGTAACTGGTCGGAGCTGGGCGAAAGACCCTGAAAGGATCGATGGTTTAGGGAGTTAGGGGTTTAGGGTTCGGGGTTTGCGGGTCCATATATTCCAAACTCAACCCCAATCATTCGAGGAGCGATGCGTTCAACTGCTCCCGCAAATGCTGAACCACGGTGGCCTCACTCTCGCCTGGGCAGCGCGTGCTCTGTTTTCATGCCCCTCACTGCCAGCAAAAGAGGAAACCAAGAAGCAGAAGACGGTTGCCCACTGAGGACTAAACCCCTTCGCAACGGGCCTTCTCGAATTCACTCTTTCTACCTTGAACACTGATATCAGGACATGGGCTCCAAGCCAATCAAGCGCCAAACCCCAAAATTTAGGGGCCCTTTGAGTTGACACATGCTTGGAGGTCCATGGTACTTACTAACCAATTAAAACTGTACTTATAACCCCACTTGTAACACCCCTAAAGGGCCTTACAGGGGTTATCCCTATTAGAAGTAGGGTTATAAGCCCAGTTATAAGTGGTTATTAAGTCCCATGAACCTCCAAGTGCCTCTTCGAAGGGATGCCGGGGGCTTTTTGGGGGAATGCCGGAAGCCAGAAGGGGGCCCAAACCCCAACCCAGGGCTCAAAGCCTTAATCTCTGCGAGTCTGTACGCTGCAGCGCTCTGTAGAAATCTCAGGTAGCCTCAAGTACTTCGGGGGGGGCTCCATTGTAAGGTAACCCCTATAGAAGCTCAAACCCTAAACCCAAAGAGCCAGAAGAGGGTTAAGAAGGGTTCCCTTTTAAGGGCGCCCCCCTTGTCCCTAAACCCTATAAATCCCAATCCCTAAACCCTAAACCCTAAACCCTAAACCCTAAACCCTAAACCCTAAACCCTAAACCCTAAACCCTAAACCCTCTGCGCGCAGTCGCCACAAAGCCCGGCCGCAGCCGCGCCCCGGCGGCCGAAGTCCTCTGGCTGCGGCAGCGCCTGCAACTCAATCGGCACCGAGGTTCGTTCGAGGGTTTAGGGTTTAGGGTTTAGGGTTTAGGGTTTAGGGTTTAGGGTTTAGGGTTTAGGGTTTAGGGTTCAGGGCTTTTCAGCCCTCCTGGTTCAGGGCTTCAGGAGGCCTTCAAAGAGATCTCTTATAGCTACCAGCAGAAGTCTGGACCTTTGCGACCGTGGCCTAGAGGAGGCTTCCGAAAATTCCGGGCTTTCGCGGGGAGGGATTTCCACCCAAACCTCGGTGTTCGTCTTGAGAGTTCGGCTTTGTAGGGGTTCAAGGTACAAAGCTTCGGCGTGGGCCTACGTGGCTAAGGCTGGAAGATGTTCAGGGTTGGGGTTTAGGGTTTAGGGTTCAGGGTTCAGGGATTTCTTGGGATTCGTCTTCAGGGTAGTGAAGCGTTGGAAAAGAATGGGTTTGATGGAGGCCTGGGGTTCAAATAATTACGGGGTCGGGAGCGTCAAATTTAACTAGGTCCCATAGTAGCCTGGAATAAAAGGTCCAGGGTACCCCCTTCTGTGAAAAAGGAGAACAAAAGGGAATATGACCCATGGAAAACGGCAAAAAAGGCCCCACTCTGCTGTTGTTTGGGGGAGGTTTATTTAAGGGGCGTTGCTTGCCAAAGGTTCCCCAGGCTCTAAGGTTTATGGGAGTTCACTATAGTTACCTCTCCTACCGTTGCACCACGTATGCTCACTTCTCTAAATTATGACCCATTTAGGGGTTACTGTTACAAGGCGGCGGTCTCGAATATTATATATGTAGCGCACCCAAAGAGGGTCCATAATTTTGAGAACTGACCATATGAGTAACCCTAAACCCTAAACCCTAAACCCTCAATTTCGTAAAGCCCCATATGCGTTTGGCTGCCTCCGCGAGCTCCGGACGCAGCTCCAGAAGCTGTGGCAGGGTCAGGGGCAGCTCGGAGGCGTCGCGGAGCCCACCTCAACTAGGTTGCCCAGTAACCTAGGATGAAAAAGGGTGCCCTTTTTTGCTTGTAGGGGTTTATAAGGGAACCTAAACCCCCCAAAAAGGAAATAAGGGTACTACTGGGCATCCTAGTCAAAACCCTGAAGCTCTAAGAACCTACAATGGGCAAAGGGTTTGGATATAGGGTTTAGGGTTTAGGGTTTAGGATTTAGGGTTTAGGGTTTTCAAAGTCTACCTGGGACACTATTTACCTACAGTTTAGTAGTAGCTACCCTTGATTCGTAGGTATAACCCAGAAAACTGTAGGTGCAGAGGGTCCCAGGCAAACCCTGCAACGAATAAAAGGGGCCCTAAACCCTAAACCCTATAAACCCTGACCCCCAATAGAAATCCCCAAATAGTAGGTTAGAGGCCCTAAACCCTAAACCCTAAACCCTAAATCCTAAACCCTAAACCTTAAACCCCGAAACGCCATGGGGTTGAAGTATGTTGAAGGCCTCGAGGCTCCAGGGCTCCAGTCTTGTGGGGTTTTGATTGCGAGCCTAAACCCTAAACCCTAAACCCTAAGCCCTAAACCCTAAACCCTAAACCCTAAATCCTTATAAAGCCTAAGCCATGGAGACTCAGAGGGGGAGTAGGAATGAAGGCTTCGGACAGCAAGGGACAAGGGAGTTCGAGTTGTCAGTCAAGCTATTTGTGTATTGAGAATCAGGCCACTGAATCTCGAGGTCCCCAGAGGACGGATCCTGTCCCTGGGTGGAACTCAGCCCCTAAACCCCTAAACCTAAACCCTAAACATCTTAGTATACGTTTGTGTAGCCTTGGACGAAACTGCTGCGGCGTAGATTCTGCCTCCATCAAAACCCGGCATGCAAAACACGTGCAAATGTTCGAGTCCAGAGTGCCTTCTGCAAGCTAACCTCGGAATCATTCGGAGTACGCTTACGTTACCGCTATGATATGTATGTATGTATATATAATCACAATGCAAAACGTTAAACCAAACCTGAGCCGCAAATGCGCGCCACAGCTCGCTCGCTGGCCAGCAATGCCTTGCAAGTTGCCAGTCGGCTCTTAAGGGTTTTAGGGTTTAGGATTAGGGTTTAGGGTTTAGGGTTTAGGGTTTAGGGTTTGGGGTTTAGGGTTTAGGGTTTAGGGTTTAGGGTTTAGGGTTTAGGGTTTAGGGTTTAGGGTCACTCTGAACCCTATAGCCCCGCTGCGCCCCATACAGGGATCAGTTGCCAACAACTTTCGAAGACGGAGTTGAAACCAGGGCGTTTTATTTTGTTGATTACTGTTGAGGAGTTTACCATCTCAAAGCACTCGCTCTTGCCTGGCATGACCTGTAGTTTGTCTAGACAATCATGGGCGGCTGGAGCCATTTTGGATGCATTTCTGGCCTCTGTGCTTGCAGCCGTGCTTGAGGACGCATTTCTATTTTGTCTATATGTCGCGAGCGCGTGCATGCGTACGGCTGCGTGGCTGGCTGCGTGGGTGCCGCCTCACCTCTGAAACTCTGGGTTTAGGGTTTAGGGTTTAGGGTTTAGGGTTTAGGGTTTAGGGTTTAGGACCCAAACCCGCAAGCCCCTGCAAGGGGGTTTAGGGTTTAGGGCTTAGGGTTTAGGGCCCAAACCCGGAAGCCGAAACCACCAATCTAAGTCGAGCCAAAGCACCCTTCCAGTCCGACACTCCATGGCGGAACCGTCCCAACCGACCATGTTTAGGGTTTAGGGTTTAGGGTTTAGGGTTTAGGGTTTAGGGTTTAGGGTTTAGGGTTTAGGGTTTAATTACTGTTTAGGGTTTAGGGTTTGCAGACTCAAGATCTCCCTACTAGGGGGCCTATGGCCGTTGTAAGGCCTACCCCAACCTGCAAGGACAGATCTTCCCCGAGCCTTTGCCAGCGAGGGCTCGCGGGTTGGGTACGCTCGAAGTGCCTGTGGAGCACACAGCATGCATGTGCTAGAGTTTGCAGCTTTGCAACAACACCGTCACTACACCTCTAAGCTCGGAAGAACAAGGCAATATATTATGTTTTCGTGTAGATTTGATGTGCGACTAGAACCCTCGAGTTTCTAGAAGCCCTCAAGCCCCGGTGCCGCTCAGAAGGCTTTAGTGCGGACTTTTGTTTAGCGGCGAGCAAGGATTCCGCGATGGCTCGTGCTCACATCTTGGCTTTGAGGAGGCAGCACCGCTCATATCGAAACACGAAGCCGACGACTCAGAATGCACCTTCTGTGCCAAGAAAGGTCGGTGGTCGGCAGCGTTTCTCGACGTGAATGTAGGCATTTTGGGTTTGGGGTTGGAGGAACCCTAAGCCCTATATACCCTAATCCATAAACCCTGAACCCTGAACACAAGCCACCGCGCTCAGACACCGACCAAGGGGTTCAAGTTCCCGTGGCTAGATCACCACTTTCATGCAACAATGAACTCACGAACCTGTCGTTGCAGAAGGGAAGAAGGCCAACATCTCGGGTGTGTATATGTACATGTATGTCTGGTTATCTATGTATATATATATATACATATATATATATGTATCACATATCAGCCCTTTGTCAAGGGTGTGTGTGTGTGTGTGCATATACCTGTGCAAATGTATATAGATTTACATACATACACAGATGTATATATATATATATAGCACCCCATTTTCAACCCAGGCCCCAAATCTTCAGCCGGAATCGCCGCGCTTGAAAATCTCTTCACCAGTACTCTAGTACAACATGAAGTTAAGCCCTTTTTTGTTCAAGAACGCAGGGGGCATGCCGGTCTGCGGTTTGGGGTTAAGGGTTTGAGCGTTCGGCTGTGCAAGGGAACTCAGCCCCTGAAGCAGAAAGGAAATAGACCATGGGGTCAGAGGTCAGCACTTGCCCCCAAGCCTCACACTCCCAGAACAATGACCACCCCTACACCCGAAGCCCGAAGCCGGAATCACCTCAAGGGCGTACACCCCTAGATCAGAGTCGCCGTTTGAACCCTAAAAGCCCTAAACCTCCCTAAACCTCACCTAAATCCCAAACAAAGGCTGGGAGCCCATGGGTCTGAGGAGGCCGCCCCCCCCCCCCCCCCCACCCACCTCCACAGCCACCTCCAGGCTTTGCCCTGGTGGCAGCAGCTCACGCAGCTGGCTGGCCTGGGATAGGGGGGTTTAGGTGCATAGGGTCCATTGATGATATGGTTTCTCAAAAAGATATTCGGTTTGTGTGTGTATATATGTCTATATATATATATGTATGTATGTATCTGCTTCTTTTCTCTTGTAGGCTTAAGGATTTGTCGGGTTTACTGTGGTTTAAACGGGGTTTCCTATAGTAGCAGGTACAAATTACAGATATGTACAACACAAGGGAATATTTCAGGGGGTAACATACGACAGCCCCCACATGAGAAGAATTCAAGGCGTCGTGGGTTAAGGGGCCACCTGAAATCTGAACACGCCCGAGCCACCTGCTTTTAAGCGACCTGAAGAAAGCCACCAAACAACAAGCGACCATCTTCTTTCGAGGATATCTTTACTGCCTAAACCCAAACCCTAAACCCTAAACCCTAAACCCTAAACCCTAAACCCTAAACCCTAAACCCTAAACCCAAACCTCATGAAGCAAGAGCCCGCACTAAGCAAAGCTCGAAACCCTGAAGTCGGGGTGCGGCGCTCGCAACGGCTTCCAGCTTTTTGCCACTTCCTGCCTTCCGTTCACAAGGGAAGATCAAAAGAGGCGAACTAGGGCCTTGAGGGATATGAGGGTTCAGGAAAATAGGAGACCCTTAATATAGATCCCCAAGTCATGGGATCCCCTTATGATAAGGCCCCCGAGAAGGCACCCCTAATGTCGGAAACCGCCATATTTGGGGTCCAGGGTGTTTAGAGTGTTTAGGGCGCAGGCTTTCGCGAGTAGGGATGACCCGGAACTCGCACCGGTGGAGCCCTCCACCTTCCACATATGGGGGGTTACGATGTTAGGGGTACCTTACTCTAGAATCCTTATTAAAAAGGGGATCTTACAGTTTTGGGGGGTCTATATATCTGGGGGTCCCCTATAAACCCCATATTTCCCGGGCCTCCAAAATCGAAGGGCCCCAGCACACTCTGAAACGACGAGCATCGCAAATGCCGAGAGGCCCACCTCTAAAGCCCCAAACAGCACTGACACCTTTGCCCCCCAAAAGATCACAAAAGTTGTAGGGGTCAGGGTTTAGGGACCCTTTTTGCAGCAGGCTTGCAAGGGCATGCCCAGACATGTTCCAGACCCTAAACCCTAAACCCCAAACCCTAAACCCTAAACGTCCTTGCAGGACACGTGCGCGGCTGAGATCGCCAGAAGGAGCAGCGGCGTAAAGATCTTCCCCAAGGCGGCCTCAAGTCGGGTTCAGGGAGTTCAGCGATGAAGGTCTTCAGCCAGGGCTCTACCCAAAAAGCAAAGCAGTCTATGGACGATATAATAGGAGGGTCATCTAGGAACCAATAGAACCCCTATGGAACTGGACGATTTTTCCACATCAACGCGTTGCAGCAGGGCTTCGGGCGTGGTGGTGGACGATGAGTCTATTCGTGGGTCGCGGGCTGCGCTTGGGGAAGAAGTCGCAAGAGTTCAGCTACGCCACCTCCACATCGTGCATCCCAACTGCAAATGCGCTGAAAACCCAACGAACCTGCAACCCCAACCCTACACCCTAAGCCCTAAGCCCTAAGCCGTAAACCCTACACCCTAACCCTATCAACCCTACACCCTCAGCCCTAAATCCTAACCTGTAAGCCTTAAGCCTTGAAGCCCAACCCTCAGCCTCAGAACCTTCTCAATCTGGCCCCGGCGCGCCTTAGAGATCTCGGGTTCAGGGTTCAAGGTTTAGGGTTTCGGGTTCAGGTTCAGGGTTTTTGGGGTTTTTCGGGTTTCGGGTTTAGGGTGCACACTGGCGGTGCCGATTCCGAACCCACCGTTTTTTCACTCCGAGCTCTCGGGCCTCGAGATCGCCACCCATGCTTCGAATGGCCCGGACCTGAATTGCGAAGGCTCAGGGGTCGGTCTAATAACGAGGAGTCCATAAAGTGTCCATAAAAGGGTCTACAACAGGATTGATACAGGGTTGAGAAAGGGCCTATGAAGGCGTTTAGGTTGCGTTTGCAAGTCAGAATTCAAGGGCACTTTACGCCTGGCATGCGTGTTCTGTGACAGGAGCACCACTAATTACGCCTTTAGCCGTGACCGACACATGGTGTCACAGCTTCGTTTGGGAACCCCACCCCGGCAAAACCGCACCCTGATCCTTCTCGGAATTCCTGGCTGCTCCCCGGGCCTCTTTCTGCAGCACCTCCTTGATGCACATCACCTGCTCCTCGGAACGAAAGAAGCTGCAGCAAGTGGCATGTTTTCTAGCTACTTCTTGTAGAAGACCGCGGAGATACCGATGCACGGAGACGCATCGTACATGAGAAGCCGCACATGCACCTTCAGCCACAACCAGAATACAAACGACCCGACATGACAGCCACAAAAAACAGAGTCGGCACCCAAGGCTCGGGAAGTGAATTCAGCCTCTGCAGCTGGCTGAAGAAAGTGCTCCACCGATCGTGGTCCCACGGGGGGATATTGCCCAAGTGTCCTGCTGCGCTCCTCCTAATTGTCCAATATTCCTAGGGGAACTAGAGGTCAACCTTTGGGAATAGACAAAGATTTCTAAGACCCCAAAAGCTAACGATTTCCTACCCTAGTACTAAGTCCCATAAGATGGATGGAGGTTCATGTCTGTGGTCATTGTGTGACCAAAGTTACGACTTGCGAAGGCGAGTCTACAAGCCACATGCACATCTGGCAAGCTGTCCTCCCTTCACGCTCTCATGGACGACCTTCTTGCAGTACTTCATGATCCTGACTCAACACTAGACCCACTCTGAGAAGACGGTTTGATGTACTACGACGTGTGCTTCAGGTACGGGTGCCGAACCGGCTTCTTGGCCCCTTCTAGAAGCCCACAGCTGAACTGCCATCTTACGAGAGCCACAGGTTTAGCGAACTGCCACAGATTTGTGCTCCCCGCCCTTGAAGATACAATGGACCAGCTCTATCACACTCTTCACACACACACACACACACACACACACACACACACACACACACACACACACACACACACACACACACACACACACACACACCCGCGCGCGCGCGCGCGCGCGCGCGCCACATACGCTCTATACGTCATCAGCCCCAGACTATGCCATGACGAGCCGAGTGACGCGTCCCGCCGCTGCAGCGCTTGCTTCACCACTTCCTTGACCAGGAACTCGCGCTGGACGTGGACCCCGATGCCTGAGAAGCGGAGGCTTGGGGAGGGCGGAGTGGGGGGGGGGGGGAGTTTAGCGATGTAGGACGAGGCCACTAATCGCTTCCCCCAAATTCTAAAACCCCCCCTAATTTTAAATATTATTTCGGACCCTGCCGGCACCCAGCCCAATACTAAACCTTGTTTGAGAATTAGGGGAGGGGTTCAGGGCCTTCGCCCTTGAGTTGAGCCATTAGGGTTTCAAGGTTTAGGGCTGAAGGCTGACAGGATTAGGATCCAGGGCTCAGGGCTTGGAGGGTTTAATTATTAGGTTTCGGAATTCAGGTTTTAGGATTTAGACCCCCCCCCTAATTTTAAATATTTTTCGGGCCCAGGCGAATTTCAGAATTAGGGAGGGGGGGGGGGGACGGATTTAGTACTAGGGGGAAGGGGTTACATCCGAAAACACAAAAAGGCCTAGACCCTAAAATTCGAATTCTTGTGTAGAGGTCCAGAGTTGGGCCCATGGGAAGCTAAAGTATGGCTTACTCGCCTTCTGAAGATGGTTGGGATGCTGGAACAGGAAACGAGCGGGTGGATACGCAGGCACTTCGCACTGGTGGCGATTCAAAAGCACCCTAAACTAAATCTGTCTAAGGGTGCTAATTTTGAAATACAAGCCAAAAAACCCTGAACCCTAAACCAGAAACCCTAAACCCGCCATCTTCGCTTGAGGAGCTCGTCTAGGTGACCTGAACCCCAAGTGGACTTTCCCGAGGCTGGACTGACAGGAAAAAATAGCAGCTGCACATGCACCAACAGCGCAAGCCCCTAAGCCCCGAAACCCCACAACCCCCCCACAAATTCCCCCAAACCCCCCTGAACTACTCAACAACCCCTTTTGTCCTAAACCCCAAACCCTGCACCCTAAACTCTATAAACCCTAAACCCTAAACGCTATAAACCCTACACCCTAAACTCTATAAACCCTAAACCCCAAACCCCAAACCCCAAACCCTAAACCCTACACCACACCAAATGAGCCCTTCAATCCCGGGAAGGGGGCTCCGATAGCTGGGCAGGCCCAAGCTCGCGGCCGCCGCAGTCAGGCCTTAGGGTCTATAGGGTTTAGGGTTTAGGGTTTAGGGTTTAGGGTTTAGGGTTTAGGGTTTAGGGTTTAATTAGGGCTTACCCTAAACCCTAAACCCTCGACCCTGCTTGTCAGTGTCAGCTGGGGGTTGAGGGAGGTTGACGGGGTTTGAGAGGGCGGCTCTTCTTGGTGTTCAGGGGTCTAGGGGTTTTAGTGGAAGGCGGGGTTGAGGTGTTTGAGGGATTTTTGGGGGGTGTTTAGGGGTTTCAGGGTTTAGCAGGGAGTTCAGGGGGTCTAGGAGCTTAGGGGTGGTTCTCAAGGTTTGAAAGTGAGGCAGGGACCCTACTCTGTACTTGGAGGTTCATGGCACTTATTATAACTGTGCTTATAACTGTAGCTATAACCATATTAGGGCGCTTAAGGGGCTCATAAGTTGGTTATAAGTACAGTTATAACTGATTCATAAGTGCCATGAAACTCCAAGTAGGGACAAGAGTTTACGACGGGCCGGGCTGGTCTCAAATACCAAGAGACCACGACACCTCTTGTCTGGGGAGCATAAGGAAAAACCGCGCCAAGATCTCAAAGGAAACACATGTTGGGTTTAGGGTTTAGGGATTTTCGCATCTTTTGGGTTTTCTAGGGTTTATAGGGTTTGTAGGGTTTAGGGCCCAGGGTAGGCTAGCGCGCAACCGCGAGATGCTTCCCATGGCACCTGCATCCAGGGTCCACGTGTTCTCGAAGGCCTTGTGGGGGAAGCTTCCTTCCTGGTCTGTCGGAAAAAGGACACTTCTGGAAGGCTTTAGGGCCGTTTAGGGTCTAGGGAGATTGGGGGGAGATGTGGGGTGAGATCTGGGAGGGAGATCTGGGGAGAAGGGGGGGGCTGAGGAGGGGATGAGAGGAGGGGATGAGAGGAGGGGATGAGAGGAGGGGATGAGAGGGAATGAGAGAGGAGGGGATGAGAGAGGAGGGGATGAGAGAGGAGGGGATGAGAGAGGAGGGGGTGAGAGAGGAGGGGATGGGAGGAGGAGGAGGAGGGGAGGAGGGGAGGAGTGGAGGGGGGAGGGGAGAGGTTTAAGTAAATTGAGCATTTGGCCTCAGAAGTGTTTTGGATTAATTTACTTGAACTCAGCTTGTCAGCTGTTTAGACAAATGACTTGGACAATTCAGAATGAGACCACACACAATTTCTATTTTTTGTCTTGAGGGTTAGGGTTTAGGGTTTGGGGTTTAGGGTGTCCGGTTTAGGGTTTAGGGGCTAGGGTTTAGGGTGCTTTGCGAGCGTCTTGGAGAGCCTGCCGACTGAAGTTCTCAACTTCTCAACCACAAAAAAGGGAACTACAAACAGAAAGAATGGCCAAAACTTCACTCCTACTACTTGCTTAAGAACCCCTCGAATTAGAAAGTTTGTCCCTACATTACCAATATTAGGAAGAATGCTTTGAATTTTTGGGGGGGCTTCTTCAGCAAATAATAGATCCAGGGCTCGTCGTTGAGCCAGCTCTTCACCATGAGGTGCAGCAACTGCTCGCTGGTTATCCTTGGGACGAAACGGTCCGCTGAACTACGGCGGAAACTCCTCAACACTAGGAGTGCTTGCGGGGATCCTTTTGAGACAAGCAGAAACTAACAATGCTCCATAGAGAGAGAGAGAGAGAGAGCCAGAACAAAAAACAACAGATGGCCTAGGCACCATGCCCCACAGAACATCTAGGGAGCCCGAAGCGGTACCTCATGTACCTCAGAGAAGCCTTGATTAGGCAACAGCACTTGGGGAAAAGATTCCCCATAAACCCTAAACCCTCTTACTTGGGGAAACTTTCGGAATCTTCGGGCTTGAGTAGAAGGGGAAATCCGGGGCACATTGGGTTCCTTGCCTTCCCTACAGTCTTTGTGGCTTATACCTACTAATTCAGGGTAGGCGCTACGAAACTGTCGGTAATTAAACTTCCCGGTAAACCCTACGCGCAAGAAGCTGTTGGGAGCGACCCCAGGGTAGCATCGTAACCCCTGCAACTAGTATACAGCTCACGTTAACGTAGCATGTAATCTCATCTCCGAATATTGAAGCCCCATGCAAGACTTGCATTCTTGTATGCGCATGCCGGGATCGTAGGTACGAGTAGTTCAGGGTTTAGGGCTAGCTAGGTTGTAGGATTAGTTTAGGATTTGGGGTTGCCATGTGAAAGGTGAACCTTGAGAAGGCCAACGCGGCGTCGTTGGCTGAGCCAAGACTCTTGGGAAACTCTGTAGGGGGAGTGGTCTGCGATTCCTCAGAAGTGAAGTATGTCCAGAGTTTAGGGGTTAAAGGTTGAGGGCTTCTCCACGAATCTAACGCCAGCCTACATCCTTCATGAAACAGAAAGAATGCTTGCAGCAACCCAACTGGAGAGACCGAGTTCCCCCCAAAATCAAGAAATCAAGTCCATAGCCGAACTGACAACCTCTCAGGGTTGAATTCGGGTTTAGGGCTTACTTCTCCTACGCCCTGAAGAGCTCAGGAAACATGGGCTTCCAGCAAGGTGCAGCAGCGAGACACGGGGATGTGCTTCGCTGTTAAACCGGCCCGAAAACCTTGGTACTGACCCTAAACCCTAAACCCTAAACCCTAAACCCTAAACCCTAAACCCTAAACCCTAAACCCTAAACCCTAAACCCTAAACCCTAAACCCTAAACCCTAAACCCTAAACCCTAAACCCTAAACCCGAAACTACCTGAACCTCCAGGCCCAAGTCCCAAAATTCACAAACTGTGCGCCGAAATTCGAAAAACCCCACATGGTACCTACTGTTGATGGACGAAATCCTGCATCATTTTTATCATGCAGCTCATCCCTTCCAAACCCTGAATCTTAACATTGCCGTCCTTGCAATGCTTCGAAAGTGCATGTGTGTGAATGACCGAAATCCTGCATCACCCATATGCGCACGCAACATTGAAATTCGACGGGTGCGGGGAGCTCGGTTACCAACCGTCGCACACGTGTAACGCAGGGGGTCATGCAAGATTTTGTCCATCCACAGTCTCGGACAAGATAATTGACTGACTTGTTGGCAAGAGTTGTTGCTTGGAATGGCTTTTGGGAAGATTGTCGGAGAATGGCCTTTGGGAAGAATGTCGGAGATGTACTTTTTGCAGCTTCAAGCCTAAGCTCTCCTCTTTCTCGGGTGTGGCCAAGCACCAAAGAGCAGAAATGTCGCGTTTTTCAAGTTTCAAATTCGTTTCTGTAGTTTCAAATTAGTTTCAAAATAGTTTCAAAATCCAGTTGCAAAATCGCTGTTAAGGGGAAACTGCATTTTCCTACGTGCGACTCAAAAAATGAAGGAATCTCAGAGATTCCTGGTTTTCAAAAAGCGCGGACAGAAATTGCAGTTCCCCCTTAACAGCGATTTTGCAACTGGATTTTGAAACTAATTTGAAACTGACTGGAAACTAATTTGAAACTATGGAAACAATTTGAAACTTGAAAAATACCACATTCCGGACTTTCTGCCCCATCCTGGCCCCTCACATACGGCCCTCAGTTGACTTTGGTCAGCCGTGACTAGAGACCAGAGTTTCCGAAAACTTGCAAGTCTCCAGACTGTCTGGAGACTTGCAAGTTTTCGGAAACTCTGGTCTCTAGTCACGGCTGACCAAAGTCAACTGAGGGCCGTATGTGAGGGGCCAGGATGGGGCAGAAAGTCCGGAATGTGGTATTTTTCAAGTTTCAAATTGTTTCCATAGTTTCAAATTAGTTGCCAGTCAGTTTCAAATTAGTTTCAAAATCCAGTTGCAAAATCGCTGTTAAGGGGGAACTGCAATTTCTGTCCGCGCTTTTTGAAAACCAGGAATCTCTGAGATTCCTTCATTTTTTGAATCGCACGTAGGAAAATGCAGTTTCCCCTTAACAGCGATTTTGCAACTGGATTTTGAAACTATTTTGAAACTAATTTGAAACTACAGAAACGAATTTGAAACTTGAAAAACGCGACATTTCTGCTCTTTGGTGCTTGGCCACACCCGAGAAAGAGGAGAGCTTAGGCTTGAAGCTGCAAAAAGTACATCTCCGACATTCTTCCCAAAGGCCATTCTCCGACAATCTTCCCAAAAGCCATTCCAAGCAACAACTCTTGCCAACAAGTCAGTCAATTATCTTGTCCGAGACTGTGGATGGACAAAATCTTGCATGACCCCCTGCGTTACACGTGTGCGACGGTTGGTAACCGAGCTCCCCGCACCCGTCGAATTTCAATGTTGCGTGCGCATATGGGTGATGCAGGATTTCGGTCATTCACACACATGCACTTTCGAAGCATTGCAAGGACGGCAATGTTAAGATTCAGGGTTTGGAAGGGATGAGCTGCATGATAAAAATGATGCAGGATTTCGTCCATCAACAGTCTCGGACAAGATAATTGACTGACTTGTTGGCAAGAGTTGTTGCTTGGAATGGCTTTTGGGAAGATTGTCGGAGAATGGCCTTTGGGAAGAATGTCGGAGATGTACTTTTTGCAGCTTCAAGCCTAAGCTCTCCTCTTTCTCGGGTGTGGCCAAGCACCAAAGAGCAGAAATGTCGCGTTTTTCAAGTTTCAAATTCGTTTCTGTAGTTTCAAATTAGTTTCAAAATAGTTTCAAAATCCAGTTGCAAAATCGCTGTTAAGGGGAAACTGCATTTTCCTACGTGCGATTCAAAAAATGAAGGAATCTCAGAGATTCCTGGTTTTCAAAAAGCGCGGACAGAAATTGCAGTTCCCCCTTACCAGCGATTTTGCAACTGGATTTTGAAACTAATTTGAAACTGACTGGAAACTAATTTGAAACTATGGAAACAATTTGAAACTTGAAAAATACCACATTCCGGACTTTCTGCCCCATCCTGGCCCCTCACATACGGCCCTCAGTTGACTTTGGTCAGCCGTGACTAGAGACCAGAGTTTCCGAAAACTTGCAAGTCTCCAGACTGTTGATGGACGAAATCCTGCATCATTTTTATCATGCAGCTCATCCCTTCCAAACCCTGAATCTTAACATTGCCGTCCTTGCAATGCTTCGAAAGTGCATGTGTGTGAATGACCGAAATCCTGCATCACCCATATGCGCACGCAACATTGAAATTCGACGGGTGCGGGGAGCTCGGTTACCAACCGTCGCACACGTGTAACGCAGGGGGTCATGCAAGATTTTGTCCATCCACAGTAGCACCTATAACCCTAAGGGTCCATGTACCTACATGGGTGGTTGTCAAAATTATGGTCCCTTTTTGGATCCCTATTATAATACGGCACCTAATATTTAGGGTACCCCAAAAGGGATCATAATTTTGACAGCCACCTACATAGGGAATACATGGGCCTTAAAGTACCTCCTATTGGACTTTTGGGCCCAAGTATGTAAGAATGTGGTACATGGACCCTTAGGGTAAGGCCATGAGCCTCAAAATGGCCACCCTAGACCCCAGCCCTGAACCCTCAAAATATAACTGTACTTATAATCCAATTATAACGCCGTTCGGGTACTTCAGGGGCTTATATGTGGGTTCTAACTACACTTATCACGGGTTGCGAAGTACCCTGAACCTCCAAGTAAACCCTATAAACCTAAACATGTCCGCACGAGCAGCCCCCGCCTCATGTCCAAAGAAGAAGTGTGCCACCTGTGTCTGTTTCGTAACTTAGTTGTCCAGTAACTTGGGGGAATTGAAGGTTAACTTTTGGGATTCTACGGGGATTATACTACCCCAAAAAGGTTAAAGGTTACCTACTCTACTACTGTGGTAAGACGGGAACAGTGGAACAACTCGTCCCATTGAATTTAGCTCCCTGTCAGCCAATGCCACTGTGTGGGAGGCTTCCGGACATGCCGTCCACCTTCGAAACCCCAAAAACCCCGAACATTGCAGGGATTCCTGGATATATGATCTCAAACACGAACCCCAAAAGGTCCAGCGGTCGGCATAGGCTACGTGTAACTAGGTACTTGAGTCCTCATATTGTACGATCTACACGATCCAACCCTTTCTTTGAACCCTTGCGATCCCAACCCTGAACCCTAATCCCGAAACCCAAATCCAGAGAGCTCTAAACCCTAAACCCTAAACCCTAAACCCTAAACCCTAAACCATAAACCCTAAACCCTAAACCCTAAACCCTAACGATGACGAAGCCACCATGGGATGATACAGAAGGCTGCCCAGACCGCAATCCGTGAACCGATGCTGCTGCCGGAAGTCCTCTGCATGGAGCTTAAGGCTTAGGATTCGGGGGTTTACGAAAGTAAGGTTTAGGGTTTATAGGGTTTAGGGTTTAGGGTTTGGGCCCCTAATATAACCCCCAAAAAAGAGTAGGATTTCGATTTTCTAAGGATCCCAATAAGGCACCCCTGATTTCGTAAGCCCCCATTTAGTTTAGGGTTTAGGGTTTCCGGTTTCGGGAGTTCCCTAGGGCTTGGGGTGTCTGGAACCTCAGGCTTTCCAGACTAAGGGCAACTCCGCTTAGGCTTTTAGGGTTTAGGGTTTAGGGTTTGGGTTTAGGGTTTAGGGTTTAGGGTTTAGGGTTTAGGGTTTAGGGTTTAGGGTTTAGGGTTTAGGGTTTAGGGTTTAGGGTTTAGGGTTTAGGGTTTAGGTGTTAGGGTTTAGGGTTTAGGGTTTAGGGTTTAGGGTTTAGGGTTTAGGGTTTAGGGTTTAGGGTTTAGGGTTTAGGGTTTAGGGTTTAGGGTTTAGGGTTTAGGGTTTAGGGTTTAGGGTTTGGGGCTTTATAGGGCTTTGTGTTTATATTGTCACGGGATAGGGATTTGGGCTTTCGGTGTTGTTGGGAGGGCGTTCTACGTTTCTGCTTGCACAGGCCTTGTGTCTTTAGGGCGCACGCTGGGGCGTCAGGGTTTTAGGAGGATTGTTTTTGTTTTATCAAATTTTTTTGTTCTTGTTTAGAAGAAGCTTTTTGGGTTGTGCCGAAGGGGGGGGAAGGAGGAGGAGGAGGAGGGAATGTACCATCCAGAAAAGGGGGAGATTTGAAGCCGAGAACACGAGCTTCAAGAGCTTAGTAGTGGTTTAGGGTTTAGGCGTTGCCCCCGGTAGAGCCGAAGGCTTGAATTAGGTCATAGCAAGGGCTGGAGAAGCTTTGGGGACCTGTTCTGGCAATTGCTGCTTACTGAAGGCAAACATCCTAAACCCTACGCCCTGCGAGGGGGATCCTTCCCTTTCATGATGGCACACTCCAGGTCGTGGAAGGTCACCACGGGCCAGGACGTGATGGCGACCCAAATTGTGGAATCCACGAACATCTGCATCCTCCTCAGAAGACACAAGTTCTTAATGGTCCGTTAACCTCTTCCAGTCCAAAAGGCCCTCAGGGCCGAAATTCTCAGCTATCCGTTGCGAAGTCCCCAAACCCCAAACTCAACCCTAAACCTCAAAGCCTAAACCCCAAAGCTGTGGGCCGAGCCGCATCTGGCTGCAGAAGATGGGCCCTAGCTTTGCGTCCTTCAGTAGCCTCTGCCAAGCGTATGGGAGAGGGGCTTCGGGGTTTGCTTGAGGGTTTAGGGTTTAGGGTTTTTTAGGGTTTAATTAGGGTTTAGGGTTTAGGGTTGAGGGAGTGTTTCAGAAAAAAAACTGGCCGTAGACCCTACGCATGCGACACCAGTGACCCTGAAATATAAGAGCCATACACCCTGAATCCCGGGAAAAGACACTTAAGCCTTGAACGCTACGAACTCTGACCTCTGAATACACCCTAAGAACCCTGAAGCCCTAAGCCCGAAACGCTACACCCTGGACCCTAAGAATCCTGAAAAGCCGAAAGAACCCGTGGAATCCCAGGAGCCCTGGAACCCTAATTAAGCTTTGAGAACCCTAAGAACACTAGGAACCCTGAATTCGTAAGACATCTAACAGGAACTCAAAGGAAGCCTAAGGCTAAGGAACCCTAAGGAACCCACCTAACCTAAATGATTCGACGGAACCCTAAGGAATCCCAAGGAATCCTAAGGACACTAAGAGCGCTAAGGAACCCTAAGAACCCTGAAGCAATGGCGCCGGCAAAGGGCTGAGTCTGTGTGCAGTTCCTCAGGCTGCAGAGAGCATCCAGCTCCACCCGCACGGCAGAGGAGCACCTGGAAGAGCCCTCATTGTAGCGTTTAGGGCAGTTTAGGGTCTTGCCATAATTACCTTAGAACCCTCAACCCGAAACCCGCAAAGTGTGTACAACAAATGGTCCCTCTATGGGTTCTGGGCTACATGTTTACAGACCTTGACAAGGTCCAGGTATGCCCAGAGCGCCCATCGCCTTTCTGATTCTAGACAGGGTGTCTCTTGCCTCTTAAAGCGCCTTGCTTGTGTGGAGGCCATCCCGGAGGCTCTTGCTGGTGGAGACAAACTTCTGAGGCCGGTTTCTGCGGGTCTAGGTCATTGGCTGCTAGAGTTTATAAGGTCTACCCCCTAGCCCAAGAGAAGAAAAGACTCAAGATCCCAAGGCCCTGTAAAAGTCGCCGACTTCGAAGAGCGTAAAGGTGTCCTACTCAGAATAGCGTAGGCCTTTTGCAAGAAAGAACCCTGGATAACTCCCATGGCTTTGAGCTTGCTGGAGTCAGTTCAGCCCAAGAGGCAAATAGCCATCTTTGTCCTCAGCTCTCCAGGCTGCTAGCCGGGTCTCTTGCTTAGGGTTTGGGGTTCAGGGTATAGGACTCAAGGAACTAGGTGATGCATGTAGTCCATTCAGTGAAGCCTGCAGTAGCCCCCAGGAAAAATCGAAGGTGCACCCTCTTCTTGGCTTTAAAGGGTCCCATAGTCCTACAACCTACAACACAGACACATTTCAGAGCAGTAAGGGCACTACCGGGCATCGCCTCGCAAGCGCAGGCAAGCTTCCACATGCTTCTGGAAGGCACGAAGAAGCTGCTTGGCATCGTCATCGCCGGGCCTTCGCGGCACGATGGCCGGGCCATGGACGCGCTGCATCTTCCTGAGCAGCTTCTTCGTCTTCAGGCTTTCGGAGGGCGGGGTCTTGTGCGGAGACTTAGGAGCTCTTCCGAGGGAACTAGGAAATGAGTTCGGTGCCCTTTGGAATCCCCCCTGAACCCTTCTGCAACCTAAACCCTAAACCCTAAACCCTGAATGGGATCGACAAGAGGCTTCTTGAGGTGTCCGTAAACACTGGTCAGCAGCGAGTCCTGCAGCACATCTCCCCCCTGTGGAATGCAGGTCTTAACTGTATACACACGGAAGCTTCGCACTGGGAGCCCCCCAAAAAGGAAATCACAGGTCTGACATCTTCACCCCTTGCGCCTGCAGTGTCGTGAGCTGCAAGAAGTCCTCTGCCCTGCTTTCCGACATGTCCTTCCCCAACACAGCAGTCAGCCACCCATAGCTACCATAGCCCGCCGTACACCCTCAACCCGAATTTCTTACGCCTGCTCTGTGAGCCCACAGGCCTACACCTCAAGAAGGTCTCAAAACGCAAGGTCCGGTCCGATTCCTGAACCTCAACTCTTATAGTCTCTTTCTGTTGCATCTGGGGGCCGTTACCCGTGGCCCTGACACAACTATTTGTTGCCCCCGCTGAAATAGGAAACGATATAATGCTCCCATATTGCCGTATTTTCGCAGCAGCTGATGATGATGACGATGATGATGATGATGATTGAGTGATTGAGTGATTGAGTGATTGATGATGATTATTATGATGATGATGAAGATGAATGATGATGATGATGATGATGATGATGATGATGATGATGATGACGGTGGTGGTGGTGGTGGTGATGATGATTCTGAATCATGATGAAGATGATGATGATGATGATGATTTTGATGACACAAGGAAGAAAGCTTTGTTCTTTGTGTCTTCTTTTTTGAGGGGGGTCTTAAGCAACTTGTCGGAAACCCAAACAACTTGAAGGCCTCTTTGACATCTTTAGCGCTGCCGGCTATGGGTAGGTCACAGAATGGGTGTCCAAAGATAAGGACACCCAAGAGGCCCCTGAACATTTCAAGTTACCCGTCACCGAATTAAGCATCAGCGGTTTATGGTTCGAGGGCGTTTTAAGAGGGGTCTGCGGGGCGGCGAGGGTGCTTGCCCTTAACTGTAAACCTCTGCCACTGAAACCCTGGCGCCTCACCATTCTTGGGGAAGATGGCAAGGTAGCGTGTCTCGGCTTCATGAAGCACACGTGACCTGCAGTTCCGTCGCGACATACGTACCCTTAAGCGTCCACTTGTGGAATTCGATGCCAGAAACTACTATACACGGCTTTGATAACTAAGCTGATTCCAGGCAGGTGCGATAAGCGCGTCCGAGACGACGAAATTCAAAGTGCGTCTTATGTGGCCAACATCTGACGCCTAGGCCCTCAGACTTGACTGCTGGACTTTAGGTAAAGGGTTTAGGAATTAGGATTGAGGGTTCCCCAGTTCCCTTTGATGTCATGGGAGATGGCTTCTGAAGAGGCGGACACCACAACCAAGCTAAGCCCTTTTTCTGAACTCAGCTTCTGCTCCAGGGTAGCCCGGGCTCTGAACCCTCAAACCCTGATATGTTCCCCCTTTATACTAACCGTCCTTAATGGGGATTATAACACCCCCTCCTATGATCAGTCCTTAATAGGGATTATAGTACCCCTACTATAATCCCTATTAAATGACGGTTCGTAAAAGGGAGAACATCCCAACTCAAACCTAAAACATCTCTGAGCCACAGCCGTTGGAGATGCTTCTCAGGCTCGTCCCCAGGGAGGACCTTTGAGTTCTGCAGCTGGATCTGGAGTTTCGAATGTAAACGAGGAATCAACAAGGACTTGAGGTGGATATATGGATGTCCGGTTTGGGGTGCCCCTGTTCTTGCCTTACTTCGGCTTGCAAAACGTGTGGGGTTGTGTGTGCTTCTCTTCTTTTGTTTGTTTGCATTCGATGTATTTTATCTATGACCAATATTTTTCATCGATCATTATTGTTTTATCTTGCTTTGTGCTTTTGTTTTGCTTTTTTTTTTTTTTTTTTTTTTTTTTTGGGGGGGGGGGGGCGTTGGGTGGGTAGGGTTGGCGGGATTGGGGTTCCCCAGGAACCTAGTGTCCGTGCATTGTTTGAGAGGACCATAAGCTACCCGAAACCCTAAAACCCTTTACCTCTACAAGAAAGCGACTAAGATCGTCACTGGAATTCCAAGTGAATGGTTTTAAGTCTGTCCAAAGTTCCAAGCCCTAAACCCCAAACCCTAACCCCCCGACATTGTTCAGCTCGATGCTCCAAACCGCTTTGATTGAAAAGCACACGATCCAACTGCCGGGTGCCAGCTATCAAGTGCTGCCTAAATCCTGCGACCGTATGTCGTAAATCGTTCAACAACATACGCCTTGGCAAGGAAACTCCCAAACATACCAGCCTTCGTCTAAACCCTAAACCCTAAACCCTAAACCCTAAACCCTAAACCCTAAACCCTAAACCCTAAACCCTAAACCCTAAACCCTATCTAACCACCCTCGCCCGCCTGTTTGAGGATCCGGAAAGGGGGAAGGCGGAACAAGGCCAAGGGAACGGCGCACGCCAACTCCACCTCCAGCAGGCCATTTGGATTCTTACACAGCCTATATAGGGGCCTTAATAATTAGAATAGTTTAGTTTTTTTTTGTATTTTTTGAGGGGGGGGGGTGTTATAGTGCATTTTCTTAAGGGACTATAAGGAAGACTAGTATAGAAATGATTCCGACCCCTATGTTGCGCTCTAAACCTGCACGGTGACATTTAGGGCATCCCTCAGTACCCCTGAACCCTACCAACCCAAGGCCCTAGAAGCAAAGAGAGGCGGCAATGGCCATATGTCTTACATGTTTTGTGTATTCTTCTATTCTGTCCCTAAACCCTAAACCCTAAACCCTAAACCCTATTCTTATATTGGTAGATGAAGATACTTAGCACCTCCGTCTCCAGCTCCAAAGGTTCTGATTTCAGGCGGAAGAGGTCTGGGCGTCGTCGGATCCAGGCACGGACGAGGTCCTTCCCAGGGCCGAAGGTGGCACCCAGGAACCCCTTTAAGTTTACGGTTTAGGGTTTAGGGTTTAGGGTTTAGGGTTTAGCCTTTAAGGGTTCAGGGTTTGGGGTTCAGGGGTTTGGGGTTTGGGGTTTAGGGCTTAGGGCTTAGGGTCTAGGGTCGAAGCTATCCTTTGGCTCCAGCCTTGGGGGATTTAGGGGCTTGAGGGGAAGGAATGCAGGGGTCTTTTCCGGGTTTTGTCAGGGTTTAGGCTTTGTTAGGTTCCAGGACTTCGAGCCTCATTCAGGAAGCTGCTTGCTACTTGACGTGCTTTGGCGTGAAGGCTTTACGCAGTTTTGCGGCTTGCGGGGGTTAAGGACCTGGCGTTTCGGGTTGAGCTTAGGCCATTGCTGGCTAATTATGACGCTGTGCTGCTTGTGTTATGCGACGGCTTTTGTTTCGGGGGCGTTGCTTGGGCTGTGCTTCCTGTTCGATGCGCACAAGTTTTTTGCATCGCGCCGTCGCGCCCGTATTTGTTCTCATTCGGTTCTACACGAGTCCTCCCACTTACCATTGACTTCCAAATTGCTCATCCGAGCCCGCATTGTGGGAAAAGACTCATGATCTATATTAAGTGGGGTGGAGCAGCGGGCGGAGGTGACGTGCGGCGGTAAAGAACACCAGCATAATGAGCAGGAGCCGTTTTGGAACTGGACTCCTTGCTGCCAGGATCCCTAAACCCTAAACCCTAAAGCCTATAAATCCCCCTAGACCGTCACGATCCCCGTCCGGTCCTCGAGGGCGCATGGTGCCCCAAGGTGGCTGCGGCTACCTGGGCACCGAAACTCGGCTTACGCTTTCTTCTGAGGTTTGAGGGTTTAGGCCACTTTAGGGTTTAGGGATTATAGGGTTTATAGGGTTTGTAGGGTTTGTAGGGTTTGTAGGGTTTATAGGGTTTATAGGGTTTATAGGGTTTAGGCTTCTGCTCTACTCTAGAAGGTTCACTCATCGCGGCGTTGTGGAAACAATGGCTGAAAACCCGATGAAGCATGGTTTCTGGTACCTAAGTCCACAATGGTACTACAGGGTCTGGATGTCAAAAACGGTGTTGAAGGCTGAGGTATAGGCTACATGGCCACACATCTCATCCCGCCAACTGAGGGTTCCGGCATCTGGTAACCGTGATTCCATACCATATGGTCACAGTGATTCCTTAGGGTTTATTCGCGCACGCTTCTTGGGCCTCTCCGCCTCATACGGCTGAAAACAGGTCTTCGAACCCCCCCCCCCCCCGCCCACTTGAAGCCTGTCCCCTAAACCCTAAACCCTAAACCCTAAACCCTAAACCCTAAACCCAGAGGCTCCCTCAAACATCTCTGCCCCGAGTTCAAGAAAGCTGCTCCCGTCAACCTCCTCGTCATCGCCAGCCTCCTCTTCTTGCGGCTCGACTGAACCTCTTGGGAAGGAGCTAGGGTTTAGGGTTTAGGGGTTAAGGGTTTAGGGTTTAAGGGTTTAGGGTTTAAGGGTTTAAGTTTAGGGTTTAAGGGTTTAAGGGTTCAGGGTTAAGAGTTTAGGGGAGTGTGGCGATGGTTGTGCTCCAAAGTGCCGCAGGGCAGGTGGAAGCGGCATATGGGTAGTTCTCTAACTTAGGGTCCTTTGGGGGGGGGGACCAATATAGTACGGCACCCTATAAACAGAACCCCCTAGAAAGAAATCTGATGTAGGGGACTTCTCCTATGGTGGCAACCCACTGCCTCAAGCAAGTCAGAACCTTTTTGAGCTGTACCCTCCGCCAGCCTTGTGAATCCCAGGTGTCCCAGAGTCCTATAATCGATTGAGAACTGGCGAGACAGCCGGGTGCATGTATGCTTAACCTAGGAGTTTCCCAAAGCAAATGGGTAGGGAAATATGCATGCTTTAGGAGTCTATGGCCCAAACCCGAACCACAAAAACAACATTAGGTAGGGAAAGGACCTTCCCGGACAGTCGTGGGCGCTGCCTGCGTGTGCAGCCGCCTTCTTTTTAGCCGGCTGCTTCTTCACCTGAGAGTAGGCGCTAGGACCACTAGGAGGCGCTGGATATGGACTTTCCAGTATTCCGCTCACGGGGTCAGGTTCACAGCAGGGGTTGGCGGCCTCCAGACCCTTTAGCAAAGCGAAATGCTACATGCAGCTGCCTTCCATGCTGGTGAGGATCAGAACAGCTGATTGTATGCCCCCGTATACAGCACACGGTTTTAGTAGCCCTAAACCCTAAACCCTAAGCCCTATAGACCCTCTAGACCCTATAGACCCTATACACCCTATAGACCCTATAGGCCCTAAACCCTAAACCCTAAACCCTAAACCCTAAACCCTAAACCCTAAACCCTAAACCCTAAACCCTAAACCCTAAACCCTAAACCCGAACCGCCGGGATGCTGCTGCAATGGTGGCGTGGCGCTCGTCTGAGACACCGAGCTGCAAAGCTTCTGCCATGGAAAGGAGCGTACCTGAGCCGGAGACACGGGGGTTTAGGGTTTAGGGTTTAGGGTTTCGGGTTTCGGGTTTCGGGCTTAGGGACTGGCAGCTGTTGCAGTACTCTCTGCATGCGGCAGCCTAGCCTCTCCAAGTTGTCGGGCTTAGGTTTTAAAGCCACTTCAAGTATTTCGGAGTTTCCCACCCTTTTTTGAAGTTCTCACACCGAAACGAGCATCACTCATTTTCATGCAGTTGAGTGTGATATTCAACGGTACTTGGTTGTGCAATACATGTTGGGTCAGTATTGTAACTCAATTGTAACAACCATAGTCGCTAACACCATCAAGAACGAATGTAGTTCGATAAGCATCATGTGTTGACATACCGAACTACCCATAAGCTAAGCGGATCTTCATCACACTAAATATTGGGATACTCCGAGGCCCCACTTGTGGCACTCAATATGGGCGTTTACGAAAACAGGGGAGGATTCCCTCATAATAAGGACCCCAAATAAGCCACCCCTAATTCTCGGAAATCCCCAGCCCTAAGCCCTAAGCCCTAAGCCCTAAACCCTAAATCCCCATATTTGTCCAAACAGTCTGGGCGGGTGTTCTGGTGGGGGAGGAGGGAATAGCTGCTGAGCGTCGCAGCGGCAAGGGCCGGCCTGCAACCTCCCAAAAGTGTTCGATCTTTGGGAATCAGGAGGTTCCTAAACCCTAAACCCTAAACCCTAAACCCTAAACCCTAAACCCTAAACCCTAAACCCTAAACCCTAAAACCTAAACCGGAACCCTAAACTATGCGGATGATTGCGAAGCACTTCCAATCTTGGCCTGATTGAGGGGCCAAACACCCCTCAACCCTAAACCCTAAACCCTCTTGAATCCTGGGCTGATGCCGAACACTTGAAAAGTTGAGAAAACGCCCAAGGGGGGGGGGGGGGGCAAAGCGAAGCCAACGGGGGGGGGGGGGGGGGCAAAGCGAAGCCAACAATTGGGATCATGTACCGCCTATGCGACTCAAGCACCAACCGGGGTAGGTATGGTCAGTTCTCAAAATGATGGGTCCCTTTTTGGCGGTACCTTAGATATTATGGGGGCCGGTAGTAGAGGAGGGATCTTGCAGGGGACCGAGTCGTTTAGAGAACTCAACCATACGAACCATCACCCCCGCTCAGGACTGCGGGCGTTCGCTTTGGTCCTAAACCCGCGACAGCGACCCCCCCTCAACATCCATAAACCCTAAACCCTAATTCCCTAAACCCTAAACCCTAAACCCTAAACCCTAATCCCTAAACCCTAAACCCTAAACCCTAAAACCTATTTTAGGGTTCCGGGCCAAGCCTGGACCTCGGTGTTCAGTTTTATGCTTTTTTGTGTGCCCCCAGCCTAGCTGACTGAAAGCAGGGTTTAGGGTTTAGGGTTCAGGGATGCTCGGGGACTCCTTGTGGTTCCGGGGCTCGTCATGAACAATCTCGGAAAGACGATTTTATGACTGCCCCTGCCGCAATGCCTTCCGACATCCTGACAGCGACCCAGAAGCACCGCACTCTAAGCAACAACGCCACCCATTTTTTCTAGAACCATAAGAACTTTAGACCCTAAACCCGCAGCGTCACCAATAAAGCCATACAGCCATCTCGAAGAACGTAGAATCTCACCCCTATACCTGAATGAATAAGGACAAAATACCCCCAAAACCCTACCAGCCTAACCCTTTTGATATACTCCCCTTAGAACCTTTAAAACAAAAAAAGCATTGGTTTTGAATATTCTCCTGGGGTGCTATATACATATACATAAAGATAAAAATTCCTAAGGGGGCTATCGTCTCCCTGAACTTTCCTAAACCCTATCAGCCCAAAACCCCCCCGCCCCCGAAATGGCACGACATCGTCCCTGAACCCTAGAAAAACCCTGATAAACGCCCTGATAAACCCTAAACCCTAAACCCGAAAACCCCTAAGCCCCAAACCCCAAACCCTAAACCCCTAAACCCCTAAACCCCTAAACCCCTAAACCCCTAAACCCCTAAACCCCTAAACCCCTAAACCCCTAAACCCCTAAACCCCTAAACCCTAAACCCCAAGAAACTCTACAGTATCCCCTAACGAAATCGAATAAGACCCAAGAAGCCCTAACAAGCTCTCAGAGCCCCGGACCCCCGGCCTGAAGCAAGGCGACTAAGGCTTCCTCTTCGAACCTGATGCCCGAACACCCAGAACCTTTGCCCTGGGTTTAGGGTTAGGGTTTAGGGTTTAGGGTTTGGGGTTTAGGGTTTCGGGTTTAGGGTTTGGGGTTAAGACCTTTAAGGGCTCATAGAAGGGTTTCGGGGGGGCGTAAAGGGCCCGAACACCCAGAGAACCTCTTGCCTTAAGATTTTAAGAGGGCGTATAGAAGGGTTTAGGATTTTAGGGGGGCTTTAAGGGTCGAAAAGGGAGCTTATAGAGGGCTTCGGGTTTAAGGGTCTAGAAGGGCTTAGAGAGCCTTGGGCGTTTAGTGCTTAGAAGGAGATTTGGGGTCTTGAGGAGCAGCTTCACGGTTCAACTGTTGATTGCTGAAAAGGCAGTTGGCTCCACATGACCACCTTTCTGAGCTTGAGCGATATAGCTTCGATCGATCCCTTAAAGCCTTCCAGAGCTCTCCAAAATGCCCCTGAACCCAAAGCCCTGCACCCTGAATAAATCCGCAACTCTCAACACGTCAAAGCCCTCGCGCACAGAGTTGACGGGCAGCGTTCCCTTCTACAAGGCTTCCAGAATGTATAAGGGTACGAAGAAAGGCTTGTCGAAGTAATTACTCTGTAAGGGGTAAACCCTACACCCCAAACCCTAAACCCTGAGTATGTGCGGGACGCACCCGTCTAAAGTCGTTCCCTTGAGCATCCCTATGTCCTGAAAGCCTCAAAGAGAGTTGAACCAGAGATGTTTTTCCCTCCTGCCCGGCTGGTCCACATCATGCGGGGGGTTCAGGGTTCAGGGTTCAAGGTTTAGGGTTTGGGGGGTGGGGGGGGGGGGGGGCAGGTGGGGGGGGCCTTTTTGACTTCGGCCAAGCTTGGGGCTTTTGAGCTTTGGAGTTTCGAGGTTTTGGTGCCTTCTCCGTGTTAGGGCCCACCCCAGCTCTAAGTCCTAAACCCTAAACCCTGCACCCTAAATCCTGAAAGCCCTTAATGATACAAATAGCTGCATTTTGTTTTTCGCTTTTAAATGCATCCATGCGCATACAATCTCAGCTGGGGCGCGTTGCAGTGTCCGTCGCTGCCGCCACGATGCTCCCAGGCAGCAGGAGGCATCGTGGACCTGGAAGCTTGTTGCTTTCTTAGGGTTTAGGGTTTAGGGTTTGGGTTTTGGGTTTTTTCTTCTAACCACTGCAAACCCTACAAACCCTACAGTATAAACCCGGTAAACCCTATCAACCCTATAAACCCGAAACCCTAAAACCCCTACAGTATAAACCCATGAACCCAATCAACCCAATCAACCCTATCAACCCTACAAACCCCACAAACCCTAAATCAAATCAAAACCCTAAACCCTAAACCCTAAACCTAAACCCTAAATCCTAAACCCTAAACCCTAAATCAAAACATGTTCGAGTTCGGCCCACGGGGCTTCGCAAAGCTTCTGGGCCGACGCGGCCGCACTGCCCTCGGAGATGGAGAAGGTGGTCGCGGGAAAGGCTCGCCATGATGCCGCAAGGATCGATTGTTGTGCTGTTTATGTTTATACGTATATTCGTGTTTTTTTTATCTATTGGTATGTTTTTTGTTTGTTTTGTATGTTTTGATCCTTTTTTTGGGGGCGGGGGGGGGGGGGGGGGGGGGTGCCCCAAACCTTTACATCCCAATAAGAGAAACATGCCAAGCGCTTACTTCGGGGTGTTGTCGGTTGCTTGTTGTTGGGATTAAGCTGCACGCCCGATGTTGAAGGGAGGGGTAGGGTTGAGGGTTTAGTGTTTGGGTTCAGGGAGGGTTCTCTTTGCCCTTTTGGCTAAACCCTAGACCCTAGACCCAAAACCCTAAACCCTAAACCTAGACCCTAAACCTCTGCTTGCATGCATCCTGCAGCCAGCATGGCCTTATTGGGAGCACGGCGTCCCCTGCATCCCCCCTGAAGAGGAACCTCCAAGGATATAGGTGCCTCACAAAAAGTGTACACAAACCCAAACCGCGAGAGCCCAATGCCCCGTGATGACGGACTGCATGTGTATATATATATATATGTATAGATATACGCTACAGTGCTATAGTATCTTTAAGAGTTCCAAGGTCCTCAAACGCGATGAATGTAACTATACAATTTTTACAAAATGAATATTGCGTATAGATGGTTGTGCACATTCACATGTACACATAGTATACATCTATTTTCTCAACGTCCTTTCTGACTTGCAGCCTTGCGCTTGAAATTGGCTACACATGTGAGTTCTATACGAGACAGCTAGTGCTCGTTGCAAGTAGAGGGGTGCCCGCGGCTCATATGATCTATCCCAAATCACCACACACTCCATGCCAAACTGCTACCAGATGCAAGTGGCTCAGTAGGAGAAGCTGCTTGGCGATTTCCCGAAAATAGGGGTATTTAGAATACCCCCAAGATTCTACAACGCTGTAAGAACCCTCCAAAAAGGGAACAACCCCCTGTTCAGAAACACCCCCAGTGGCTCGGGGCACCCGCAACAATGCAGCAGTCCGCGATCCAGCTTGGCAGCACAGAAGAGCCGTCGGCACTTGTGCTGCCAAGCGCATGTGCTACTCCGACCTGCCTGGGGCGACTCCGGCCCCGAAACCTCTTTAGTTGCGTTTACGGTTTAGGGTTTGGGTTTGGGGTTTAGGGTTTAGGGTTTAAGGTGCCACCTGCCCTTGGAGATTAGGGCTTATATGCTTTACAATGTCAGTTGGAAGTTGAACACGGGACTTGCGGGCACGAACGGTCGCATTGCCAGCTCTCGAAAGTGTAGTCCGTTCTTGGCCACCCTCTAAACGGCACGAAGTAAGCGGCACCGCAGCCCTTCAAC